GGGGGCCCGGGATTCTCGTCATCCGCTCCATCTCTTCAATGGTGTGAGTGTGTGTGTGACCTCACTAGGGCCTAAAAATAGAACGCCGGGGCAACATCACCTTTGTTCCATCGCTGACACCGTCGGCACAAAAGGAAAAATTCTTTGTTGCCAGGAGCTAATGAGGTCAGACCGGTGACGTCTTTACGCGCCTCGTGCCACCCCAAGCCCTCGTCAAACACCTCATCGCTTTCAGAAACGTAGGGCGGTTCTCTCAGAGTCCCGTGCCTGACTTGATAACCCCCCCCCCCCTCTCTCTCTACTTGTTATTGTCCAACAATCAGGGTTTATGTCCCAAGGAGAAGGATGCACGGGCGTCACGTCGCAAGCGGGAGCCGGCGTGATTTGCTGCGCGGTAAGACGTGGGTGTTTAAACAATGTCTGTTGTTTGAAAGGATGCAGCATGTTTCCTCTCGACTATAAAGTTGGCTGCATGAGGTTCCTGTCGTAAGAACACGTTTCTGTTGCAGAAACACATCGGCGGCCTATGACCGTGAATGGATGTCGAGGTTGCGCTGTTTACAGAGCCGAGGTTGAAGTGTCACACGCAGCACGTTTCTTGTTTTATCCGTGTGGATTCTCGGTTGTTTATCCCGTGCTTTTATTGCTGGACTCTGGCATCCTGGATTCTGCAGAACTGCGGCCTTCCTGTAACATTGTGCAACGTTTAAACACAAATCCGTCTCCGTTCGTTCCGTATCATCTCAGTCCACCAGTTGATCCACACTTTGCAAAAACACAGTGACCAAAACGTAATAAAATAAAATGAAAATAAAATATGCCTTCGTTTCTGTTGTCGGAGGCACTATTTCACCTTTTGTGTGATAACTTTTGTTCTTTATATGCAATTCCATACTGACCATGTTGTGGGAATTCTCAATGAACTAATTAGATGGCGTTTAAACGCTGAAATATCCTTAATAAATATAGTGTGATACTGCATTCTCGTTTACCGTCACTGTGGTAACTGCTGTATATTTACCATGCTGATACACCACGTTGTCACGGTCGCAGCCGCAATCTGTGCGGAGGAGGTAAGAAGAACTAATCTACAGCACTGCACTTACTTAGTGTATAAGTAAGTGAAAACTATTTGTTCATTGTGGTGCTGATACAGAATTCAATCAACATAGCAGTTGATTCAAGACCTTACATGCTGTTAGTCATTTTTATTTGAGCCATTTTGCATCCTCACTACAAGTAAACTTACGAATATTTTCATCATTCAGTCATTGAACAAAAAAACAGGCTTGATATCTGCTTTGCTGATTAACAACCTACACTTGCTGCTTTTCTATAAACTGCAGCAAAGCTTCTGTAAATGACGCTGAAACAGGTGTGTGTTTCATGCGTCCGTGTTTCGTGCTACTTGGTGGTTAAAGGTGGCCCATGCTGAGCTCTGGAGGGGAAGTGATGGCGAGGATTGAAAAGCAGAAACAAGCGGCTTCCTCAGCAGGACATTCAAGTCTTTGAGTTCTTCACATGTGCAGCGTCTTTATATAAAGAGGATCTATATTTAGAAGCTGCGGTCGTTTCGAAAGCTCTCAAGATTCAAGGGTAAACTCCACAACAATGTTGTAAGTGCTCGTGTGAGGAAGCGCGGACATGTTGGCTGATTTGTGTCTTTGTGTGTGTGTATGTGTATATGTGTGTCTAGTGTGTGTGTGTGTGTGTGTGTGTGTGTGTGTGTGTGTGTGTGTGTGTGTGTGTGTGTGTGTGTGTGTGTGCGCGCGCATGCTGCTGCTCCTTTGTTGGGATGTCTTGATTATTATTGAGATCAAATCCTCGATCAGCATCCGTTCATCTCCCAGAGCTCTGCGGCTGTAGCATCATGTGTGTCTAAAAAAAAACAATGCCCAGTAGCTCAAATTGCCCTCACAATAGCCTTGTTCCATGACATCATGCCTTTTATTTATTGTTATTTGTAGTGTGTACTGTACACACAGAGCGATATCACTTGTTTTGTCATATTTTAGATCCCTTTGTGTGTTTTTGATAATGACCGAGTGAGTAATCTTGACAAATGTTTGACTTTTTAATGATGGTTGCAATAGCACACGGACACCACAGGAAGGACAAATTACAGTTTTTCAGCACTTGTTTAGGGTGATGGGATGAGAAATGCAATGTGCACGTGTGTCTTTCCTTTTATCATCCCACTTTTGAACTTTTAGACAAGCTGCTGTTAACCCAGTGTAATATATACATATATATATATTAAATCAGTGCTGCTTGTGCTGCAAAGATTTCAAATGTACTTTGCTCAGTTTTTATCCACAGAAAATAATTCCATCGTGTCACAGGCAGAACACTTTTGAAGACTGTTTGTAAAACTTTCTTTAAACCTCCCCCTTTTTTATATTTTGTTTTTTAAAATGGCTCATGTATATTGTTAAAAAATAGAAGAATGACACCTGATATCTCAGATGGACAGCCAAGAAAAAAAAGCTTATGGGGCGAGACATTGAGGAGGATATTAAGAGCGATGGGATGAAACGAGGGAGGGGTTTGGGTAAAGAAAACCTTGTCCATAATTCATCTCTCTCATAATGGCTTCATTGGCCTGAAGAGCTGCAGAAATAGTGGCGGCAACGCAGGGCAACCTGATCCCTGGCAACCCCGAAAGAACCCGGCTGGAGACGAAGGCCCGTCTCCAGGCAAAGCACACCGCATTATACCGCAGCATGAATGACAATACAGTCCGCTCTTTGTCTGCAGACTGTGCACGGTACCTCGACCCCACCCCCCGCCACTCAAACGCACAAACACCCACACACCTGCACACGCATAGCTGATGATGTAATTACAAGGCAGAAATATGTCCCTTTTCATCACGTTGATATACAAACACAAGTATTGTGTAGCTTTTTGTGCTCTTTCCACCCTGTGCTTTCACTGAGGACCTGGGGCGGCACGGCAGAAAATTGTCCTTCTTTCGCTGAGGAGGCCGCGGCTTCGGCGAGTTGGGTTGGTGAAGACTTGGCTCCTTGCGGTCGGAACGTCGTGTATGTTCTGGACCAAAGGAGGCCAGATTATGTGACTCGCTTTGTTCCTGGAGCTGCTGGGGAAAGACGTGAGGTGATAGTGTGGGCTTCAGGCTGTGTTGTCTGTGGGTTTGGGCGGGGAGTCTCCTCTGATCTGGGATCTGTGGGGGTTTCGTGATTTAGAAGTGGCAGCGGTCGGTCTTATTTGTGGGGTTTATCCGTGCAGTAGTTGCTCATTTCACTCCTGTCAGAGAACTTGTGGGTTTAAAGTCTTGGTAAAGTTGGAGTCGTGTGTGTGTGTGTGTGTGTGTCCTCCAGTTGACTCAAAGCCAGACACATTAAAGGGTCAAAAAAAGAGCCTGTTTTCTCTTTTACCCCTTGTGGTATCTGGAGGTGTTTTTGTTTTATCTGGCTATCAACCAGTACAGAGCAGATCATTGGAATTAAAAAACATTGCAAAACAGCAGCCTTCACAGACTCTGTGTCACTCCTGATAATCTACAGGCCTCGCTCAATTGTCGTCACTGCAAATACTTTCAAAGAAATAGTTCCTATTAACGGTTGACTGTACTCCAGGTTTTTTCTTTCTCCAGAGTAGTTGGTATGTCGGGCAACTCGATTCGCTGCTTACGCATGTGTCATCATTGAGTCATCACTCTTCTCTGAGCTGAGCTCGGTACTTCAAAGTTTAGGCGTGACTTACAAACCGATATAAGACTGCATTTTTTTCCCGCTGGGTCAATTTTGCATAATAGGACTGTTAAGCAAACAGGTACTATTTAAATACTTGCCCCGCGTTGATTTGTTTTCCCTCAGCGCTGCTGTTTTGTATAATAACTCCTTGTAATTATATTGGTTGTTTTCTTTTGTTTTTTCGGCCGGACCCCGTGTCTGTGATTCATGCTGTGATTGTAATATTTGTTTGACAGGTTAAGAGTCAAGAGGATTTTTGGGGTAAAAAAAAACAAAAACTGTGAGGTCGGCGGCGGCCCGCTGCCGGGGCGTGGTTGACTCTGTGTAGCTTGGCAGCTGTACAAGTCGGGCCTGGATTTCACATGTGGAGTGGCGGTTGGGGAAACTGAGAAGAGAGGGTGTGTGATGCTGTTTGTGAGGAGGGTGTGTCTCTTGGTAAGTGGGGATGAGGTGTGTGTGCATTGCCCTTCCTGTGAGTTGTTTGACGTGTGGCCGGATGAAGAATTCACCTCTGGGGGGAGAAAATGACAGCAAGCGAGAATGGGATGATTGCGTGTGCTTCATGCGCTTTCTCCTTCAGTGTGACGTCCTAAAAGACCCAATTTTAAAGCTCTGCGCATGTCTCTTGCCTTCTCTCTGTTTTCCCTTTGTGTGTGAGCGTGCACGTGTGCGTGCATGTTGTATGTAGCGGCGGTGTCCTGTGTGGTGTGGCCACTGAAGTAAACCAGACCGCATTAAGTATTCAGGAGGGCCGGGTTTCCCAATGGCCGCCTCCCTCTCTCCGCTGACTTCTGACTGACAGTCTCACCACTGTGTGTGTGTGTGTGTGTGTGTTCGTTCTCATCTGATATGAAGATGGGATTGAGTTTCTCCTTTGTCTTTCTTTCCACATTAAAGTTGCTTGATTTGTGGAATTCAGCTAGTAGTACTTGTGTATCATTTGTGTGTATTTTTTTTCATAAAAATATACCAAGCAACCATGACAACTCATTTGTAAAGAAGTATTAGAAACGTGGGGTTTCTTCATATACTTCTGTATGAACAACAGCTTTCTTTGAATATGTTTGTATGGAGTGTTGTGAAAATGATGTTAAATCAACTTTCCATGCTATTTATTTGATTTTAAGTTCTTTGATATACTCGGCCAATGTACAGTACGTTCTTTAAGAAAATATGAATAGTCAAATATTGATGTCATTGATTAAAAAATGAAATTGAAAATCTAATTTTAATATCTAATAACTAATAGTCTGCCTGTCCCTTTTTTTACTTTCTTTTCTCCAGTTTCCCGAGTGTGGCTTCTATGGCATCTACGACAAGATTTTGCTCTTTAAGCATGACACGACCACCAACAACATCCTGCAGCTGGTTAACGGGGCCAGTGATATTCAGGAGGGAGACCTAGTGGAGGTGGTGCTCTCTGGTCAGTCAACAGCTCCCTCTCTCCTCTTCTCTGTTATCTCCCTTTTATTACCGCTCATGCTTTTGCATCACACCTCTTGAAATCAGTTTGTATCTTTGTACTTTCCTACCGCGGTTATCTTACAGTTTCCTTCGGGTGAGAACCACTACTTTGATTAGTTTTCGAGCGCTCGTGCTCCCCTCACGCGGTGCACCCGTTTTTCTCTTTTTGTTTTAGCGGCAGCCACGTTTGAAGATTTCCAGATTCGGCCGCATGCCCTCAACGTGCACTCGTACCGGGCCCCAGCCTTCTGTGACCACTGTGGAGAGATGCTGTTTGGGCTGGTCAGACAGGGGCTCAAGTGTGACGGTGAGTAATGCACAGGGACGAAGTGGGAAACGATCGCGGGCCCGAAGCTTTTCTCCCCGAGGAAACCAACTCACCGGGTATCCTCCCCCCTTTTCTCCGGTGGTCCATGTCGCCCCCTGCAGGCTGTGGACTTAACTACCACAAGCGCTGCGCATTCAGCATCCCAAACAACTGCAGCGGAGCTCGCAAGCGGCGTCTGTCCACGACCTCCCTGAGCAGCAGCCAGTCCCTGCGTCTCTCCACCACCGAGTCGGTGTACAGCTTGGGGACGGCCTCCAGCTGCGCCGAGGACGCCGGCCTCATCCGCTCACACACACAAATGGTGCGGGTAGATTAATGGTAGAATAACCACATCCAGCAGGTTTGCTTTGGTTATGTTGTTGTCATATCGGTAAAGCTACTTTAACTCATTTCTATTCCCTTTGAACTTTGTTCTAATAATGGTGTTAAAGCCCTTCAAAATCTAACAAAAACTGCCTGCATGACTGCATCCCACTTGAATTCTAACACTTAAACTGATTACATAAATCAAGAGGGAAAAAAACTCATTCATTGTGTAGGGTTCCTATTAATCTAATTCTAATTAAAGCAGAGAAAGGCAAGTATTTGAAATGTTAACGTTGTGTTATTAACCTCTTTCTGCTGCCTTCAAGGAGCCAACAAAGTCTGGACAGACTTTTTTTTATTTTTAATAAATTTTCTTCTTGTTGCCAAAGTAGATATTTTGTGTCCTTACAAGTTGTTTTTTTACACACAAAATGAAATGGCCGATCTTTGTTACTTTCCTTTACTAGCCACGGACGCCGAGTGATGCCCGGCGCTTCTACACGGGCCGACCAGTTCATTTAGACAAGATCCTGATGAGCAAAGTCAAGGTGCCGCACACGTTCGCTGTCCACTCGTACACGCGGCCGACGGTGTGTCAGTATTGCAAGAGGCTTCTCCGAGGGCTGTTCAGGCAGGGCCTACAGTGCAAAGGTGAGGACCGACCAAGAGAGCGTGATCTGAATCTAATAGTAATATATGTAATCTAATAACAATGTGTTTTATTGCTCTCAGACTGCAAGTTTAACTGCCATAAACGCTGTGTGTACAAGGTTCCTAACGACTGCCTCGGGGAGACCATTGGAGGTGAGCAAATACACAAATATATCACCATTGAAATTACTTTATGACCTTCCCCCATTTGATTAGTATCAGTATTTAATTCGATGAGTGTTTCCATTTGGTATAACTAGGTTACTTTTACCATACATTATCAGGCTGAAACTCACTGGCACTAATGTGTTTATCTTCTCAGAAAACAGAAGTAGCTGCGGTAAGTATCCCCGGTACTCTGTATTGATGCATGTGCAGCTGTAGTCTTCTAATAGAGGCCTTAGTGCTAGCAAGTGGTAATATTGTTCCACAGCATGTTAAACTAAGGGTCACTTTTGAGTCAAGTCACACTCAAGCCGTCTCTCTTCTTCTTTTTGTCCCAGACATGTTGAGTCCCAGTGCGGACCCCGAGGTGCCCATGGACTACAGCAGTGAGTATGACGCCTCAGACAAGTCGTCAATAGACGACTCCGATGAGGCCTGCAGCATCCCCGGGTCCTTTTCTCCCGACAACAACCAGGACGGAGCCAGCGGAGACCAAAGGTAGATCTAAAGAAATTCCAAAATATCAGTACACACGGAGACTAAAACCTGGATTTAACCCAGTGAGTGTTGTCTTTCTTCTTCCAGTGTTTACATCCCTCTGATGAGGGTGGTGCAGTCGGTGAGACAGACAACCCGTCGATCCAGTACGGCTATCAAGGAAGGATGGATGGTTCACTACAGCAACAAGGACACCCTGGTAAACAGATTACGCATAACCCTGGTTCACCAGAGCAGGGTCCTTGTCCTTGTTCTAGTGGCTGAACGTACAGGTTCTAATCTAAGATTCACTGCAGAAAGTTTCTTTTGTTTTCTTTCCACTCGCTGAAGGACCTTCTCGCTATCAGTCAATTTTCTTTATTCACCAGCTCCTCGCTCAACAGTTTATGTCCTTGATCATTTGACGTTAGGCACTATATTACTTTCTTTTTCTTTTTGTATTTGTGTGTATACGTGAGCGTGTGTGTGTCTGTGTCTTTGTATGGAAGAGAGAATTGATTGATGATGATACAGAGTCTCTCTGAAAGCGTAAGAGCACTCAGCTGATGTCTGGGGAATTAATCCTAAAAGCCTATTTGCGCCTTTTCTTTCACCTGATGTATTCTCTAAATTTGACCTTAAGGAAACCTTGCTGCCTCTCTAGTCTTCTGCTTGCTTGATTTTCTTTTCTGTCTTTACTAACACCCTCCTCTACTTTCTCTCATTTTTGCCTCCTTTCTCTTTCTCTTTGTTTCCTCCGTCCATCTTGCAGCTTGTGCTCCTGCTCATTCACATCTGGCCACTCTTCACTCTCCGAACTTGGGAAGCATTCGCATTGATCCTTGAACGTCGTCCCGTTCTGTGCCCCGTTCCCCAACCTCTGTGCTTTCTCCATCTCATCCCTCAATGTCCGGCCTCACCTGCGTTTCCCTCACCCCATTCTGGCCTACTCCAACCCCCAACAGAGAAAGAGGCACTTTTGGCGTCTGGACTGTAAGTGCATCATCCTTTTCCAGAACAACACCACCAACAAATACTACAAGGTAAATATAGTTTACTCCATGAAAGAATGGGGTCTTAAGCTATTCGTTCCAAGTGTGCAACCTCACTGCTCCGTCTTCTTGCAGGAGATCCCTCTCTCCGAGATCCTGGAGGTGCGTCCCGCTGGCAACTTCTCTCTCGTGCCCACGGGAACAAATCCTCACTGCTTTGAGCTCATCACTGGCACCATGTGCTACTTTGTAGGGGAAGACCCCAACGCCCTCCCCATTCTGTCCTCTAGCAACCCCCAGACCCTCCCTCCAAACCCTCCCTCCCCGAGCCAAGTAGCGCCCAACAGCGGCATCGGGCGCGAGGTGGCCAAGGCTTGGGAGAGCGTCGTTCGCCAGGCTCTCATGCCAGTCATCTTTCAGGACGCTCCACCAGCTGAGGGCAACACAACTCACAGTAAGTTGTGCGCTGTTGCCGTGTCCAGAGCCAGCCGGGTAATCCCAACAAACAGCTGACCAAATGGCGGGCGGGCGGGCGGGCGGGGGGGGGGCGACTCGCCAACTGGAGTCGACAAACTGGAAGAGTCTGGTCTTTATCAGACTCTTGTTCAAGAACACCTTGATGAAGGCCCTGTGCCATCAAAAGTACTTGACTTATATCAACTAAAATATCACCTGCCTTGTATTTTCAGGACAAGCTTCTATCAGCATATCCGTGTCCAACAGTCAAATCCAAGAAAACGTGGTATGACTCTTTGTACGTTTTTAGAAAATTCCTTCCAATCTTTTAATTAATTGTACATTATTATGAATGTGTGAAATGTTTTTGCTTTCCTGAAGGACATTGGAACAGTGTACCAGATCTTTGCTGATGAAGTGCTTGGATCTGGACAATTTGGAGTAGTGTATGGAGGTATGTACATCGATGTCCACTGATTGAGTTCTAGATTGCTCTTGATCTAGAGCAATCTAGATTCTGTTTTCTGTTCTAGATTTTGTATTTACATGTATAGGTTAAAGTGCAGTAGAGGAAATGAACCACATACTGTGCTGATGTGTAAGTGAGTATGGGTCTGTAAAGGGGAACTCTGATTTCACCCCCTCTGAGTTTGACAATGTCAAATCAGTGTTATTAAATGTGGATTGTAGTCTCTTAATGAACCAAGCATGTATGTGATTTTCAGTTCACAACCACATCTTTAATTTAATCATTTGTTTCTCCTCCAGGGAAGCACAGGAAGTCAGGCAGGGATGTGGCTGTCAAAGTCATTGACAAGCTTCGCTTTCCCACCAAGCAGGAGAGCCAGCTGAGGAACGAGGTGGCCATACTGCAGGTAAACACCGGCTGTAAACGGGTATTAAACGTACTCCACATACTATTCAATAGTACAGAGTGAGTCCTATAATACTGAGGTCAAGAAACTCGAGAAAAGGAAAGTTTAGAGAATTTCTTCTCTGCGCAAAGACGGTCAAGCGGTTGTACAGAGGGCAGGCGGTCCGCCTGAGAAAGAACCACAATGCAGGATCTGTGAAGCTTGTCAGGGGAAGGAGCACATGGTAGGTTTCACATGAGTCATCACTGAGACATCTAGTCAACAACCGAATGGACTAATCCTCACAGACATATCAACACAGATGTGTTACTCCACTCACGCAGATGTGCTACTCTACTTGAGAGGAACATCACTTGTTTATAACGGGGAGTCCTAAAACCTCTGAAGACTTATTTCCCTGAATAGAAGGGGACCAAACACAGAGAGCTCTGACAATACAAACCGGTAAATAAGCCACAGTGGGAAACTACGAGCACAATGGAAATTGCCTTCAGATGTGCCATTTTTAAAAGGAATGGAAGTCCCCACATTCAGTGGAGTTTATGAGATTATAGTCCTGAAGCACTGAGACAATAAGTTGTGGGAAACATTAGCCATATTTCTGTCTCTAAAGGTCAGACTGAAAATGTCAGATATCTCAGCGCTGCCTTCTAAAGCTGCAGGTAGTGTTTCTACTGATGAATCATTGTTATATAACATCATTGTTAAAATTCTTTTGAGGTTGTTCAGTAATTTGTACCATTTATTTTGTGGATGCTTTTTACGTTTATATGTTCTACTTAAAACAGAGTGATTATTTAGTTCACTTTTTAGAAAAGAAAAGATATAAATACGTTGTTTACTTAACTACTTAATGCCACAAGGTTTGAAAAAGGGTAGCAATTCATAAAAGGAGTGGATCTGTATTTGTGGTCAAACTATTGTTTGTGTAATCATTTGGAAAAAGAAATTTAATCACTTTCAATAAATTAGAGTTAAATGTACAGTTGATCGGTCACCAGCAGATGGAAGCAGATATGATGTGCATTATTCTGCCTGTTTGCCGGCACTTAAAGGCCGTTACTCCCTTGGCATGACAGACTGAAGAGCCACATTCATACGCTTTAGAGTGAGATACATCTGCTGAATGACGCCCCCTCGGATATGTGTAAATGGGCCTTCTGTAGATATTTTCATAGCATCTTTGAAGCATTTCTATGTAAAGACCCAATTTCACTTCTCCCTTCTGTGCTACAAGTTCCCATTTATGTGGTCTACTTTTTTTTTCTCACTGTGTTTTTTCACCGCTCGTTCTGGTCTCTCTCCCTCTCAGAGTTTACGTCACCTGGGCATTGTGAACCTGGAATGTATGTTTGAGACGCCAGAGAAGGTGTTTGTGGTGATGGAGAAGCTGCACGGGGACATGCTGGAGATGATCCTCTCCAGTGAGAAAGGCCGATTGCCCGAGAGGCTCACTAAGTTCCTCATCACGCAGGTGTGTACGCGCCTCTGCCACGAAGTACTGTACTGTGCGTCAACAAATGACGTTCATCACTGACGTTCAATGTCTGCAATGGAATAAAAAAGTGTTGCTGTTCCGTCTGCCACTTGTTACTCGCCCACCACTGTGGTTTTTACTGGGTATTTGGCTTTGTCGTTACTTTAACATCCGCTTTGTGTTGCTGCACGCACAGATTCTTGCAGCTCTGAGACATCTACACTTTAAGAACATCGTTCACTGTGATCTGAAACCCGAAAATGTGCTGCTGGCCTCTGCTGATCCCTTCCCACAGGTATACACGAGCACACACCTCACACACGTGGAAACTCACTCCCAACTGTGCATTTCACACTCTTAGACGAGTAATTCAGAGCACTTGCTGTGAATTGCTTAAACACTCATATCCACATTCTGTTTTCGGGCCAGACTTCTCTCATTTCACCACTTCTCCTTTTTTGGTTCACTCCACCCAGGTGAAGTTGTGCGACTTTGGTTTCGCTCGCATTATCGGCGAAAAGTCTTTCCGGCGATCCGTGGTGGGAACTCCGGCCTACTTGGCCCCGGAGGTTCTGCTGAACCAGGGCTACAACCGCTCGCTGGACATGTGGTCGGTGGGCGTGATTATGTATGTCAGCCTGAGCGGGACGTTCCCCTTTAATGAGGACGAAGAAATCAATGACCAGATCCACAACGCGGCCTTCATGTACCCTCCCAACCCCTGGAAACAGATCTCCCCCGATGGTAAACAGTAAGGGGCAGCAGGGGAGATTTAGTCAACACTTGGATGCAGCTTTATTCATTCTAATACAAAGAGAGTCGTTCTTCATGAAGGTTATGTTCATGATCATTTTTTGAGGTTGTAGTTTATGGTGCTGTTTAAATGTGTTGAGGTAAACTGAGAGGTGTTTATTTTATTTTGTTCACCCCATTCATTTCAATGGGGGCAGGCTAAATAACATTTGGTTCTACAATTGGTTGGTAATTGGTTCAACAGTACCACAAATTACACCCCCCCCCTCCCCCCAAAAAAAACATCTCTGACTCTGTATCAGTCACATAATCCTTTATGAATTGTTTGTACACGTTTGTACTTCACTAATGAAATTGTAATAAAGCTCTAATCAGCACTAACACACGTACTGCAGAAACTGGGTGATCCTCGATATTATTATTATTACCTCTTCATGGCATTTTATTTGCCCCAAAACTAATAATAAGAGATAAGATCGTTCAGATGAAGTTCCATAGCAGCAAATTTTTTTTTCTGTAACTACTCGTCTGACCCTCATAGACCGTGTGCGTTTGTCTTTCCAGCAACCGACTTGATCAACAACCTGCTGCAAGTTAAGATGAGGAAACGCTACAGTGTGGACAAGAGTCTCAGCCACGTGTACTTACAGGTAGCATGTATAAACTACTCTTATGCAAGCACACATACATGTTGTTTAACACACGGTTGAGTCTCTCGGACACTTTCATCCCAACCCCCTCACTCAAACCCCTTCCAAAAGTTCTGTTGGTTTATTTGGCACTTAAGAAACTTCTGGATGTTCCATGTTTCACTGCTTTAATTGATGAAATTTCTGATTTATGAATAATTCATACTGATCCACCCATACACCGATTCGCACATGCACCATAAAACTCCTAGTTCTACAGTATATGGTCATCTACACATACATGTGTATATACACATGCCCATGATACACATACAGTACATATATCCTGATAACTATTCATTCGTATGAATTGGATGCTCCTTGGGCTTTTTAAAAATGTACTTACTACCTAGTTACTGCTTACTACTGAGTTGAGACAATTATTGATCGAGGACTACAGTCTGCACACATGTGACGTCCTCTGTCCATCATGGTATTGGTGATCGACGCTTCCCCCTTTTTTGAAGTAGGACACGTAGGCGAAATCATCCTGATGACTGACGTCTGGCTCGAATTAACAAGATTGTTTGAGAGCGGCTCGGCCTTTTGAGGAACCGAGATAGCAGGACCTCAATCGTCAGGTTAATTTGAGCTGGCTAATAAGACGTTTCATCGACTTGAACCACGTACGAGAAACGGGGCCCAGGTCTTAAATGTCTGCAGGTTAACCCAGGCCCAGGTCTCTCTTTGTTCGAACCAGTGCAGTCGTTTGGTAGCAAGAACGTTCCATGAATTAATAAAACTTCAATGTCAGTGCTGCCCCAAGTCTGATGAAAGGGTCTCGTATTGGTTTCCCAGATGCAGACGCACAGTGGTCCCTCGACGATGTGCTAAAAAAAGGCCATTAAACCTAATCTAAATCTCAAATGTCATCTGCTTTCATTTCCGTCTCTCATGTCTCAGGACTACCAGACGTGGTTGGATCTGCGGGAGCTGGAGACCAAACTCGGCGGGCGTTACCTCACCCACGAGAGCGATGACAGCCGCTGGCAGATGTTTGCCTGTCAGCACACTCTGCCCTACCCCGCTCACCTCGTCCCCCCGCCCCCGGCCCCCGCCTCCGACGATGAAGCGGATGCAGATGTGCAAGGCCTCACTGAAAGAGTCAGCATCCTCTGACGAGAGAGAGAGACAGACGGAGGACTCCAGCGTATTTAGGAAGAAAGAAGTAGGGGGCGGGCGGACAGGGGAGGTGGACTTGGAGAGACAAGTTTGATGGTCTTAATAAAAAATAGTGTCTAGCGTTGAAGACTTTTTTACAGCAAGGAATCCAATGCATCTCTTCAGGCAAGAACTTTATTTGCCTGTGCTGTTATTGGTTGTCCCTAGTACCTTTTGAATTGTTGGACATTTTTATGACTCCTCGTTTGTATTTCACATCCTCTGTGCGGCCGACCCGTGGAGTTTTTACAGATGACATTAGAGTCAAACTTGGAATCACAATATCTCAGAAAAAGGACAAGCAGCATGTTCTTTTCCTCCAAGTGTGAGATGCTTGAAACTAATTGAAGCAGGAAATGTTCCTTCACTGCAGGCATTAAACTAGTGGCGTGGGTGTGTGCATTGCATTGAGGTGTTTTTATAAAAAGAAGAATCTTCAAAGAAATATTCAAAATGAAACTGCTTCCCATTAAAAGAGAAGTACCATTTGGTTCTGGTGTCATTTAATTGGACTGACAGGAATTAAAGTCTATTTAATGTCAGTAAAAAAAGGGTTAAATCTCTTTCCGCTGACAAAAGACTTCCGTGCTGGTGATCACTAATGTGCAGGCATTAAGTCAAACCCATATGAATTCACAATTGCATCCCCATAATTGAATGTCCTGCTGTGAAAACTGAAGATATTGATCTTGTGTCAGCTAATCTTCCGGTAATTACCACGGGTTGTGAACAATAACAGACTTTTAGAAAAAACGCGGATGATTGAACGGTGTGGAGCCGTCCTTTACCTGAGTGGCCCGCTAGCGCCGAACAACTGTGTATTTAAATGTTGAATAATATGTCCTCCGATTTGCGTGTACAAAAGATTCAAATACTGCCAATGAAGGAAACATTTTTACACCTGAGCAGGTAGGATGCTTTTTTACTGTTGTAAAGAGCAGATGTGCATAAACCTGGATTACTAAACTAGATTTTGTAGAGTGTTGGTAGTATGTTGCATGTCTGCATATCTATATACAATTGAAAACGTACTGTAGTCTTTTATGCCCATGTGTAACCTGTAGCTTATCTAGTCAAATGTGAGTAGACTGTATAACAAGATATTCAAGATAATCCTCGCCTTTGTAACATAATACAAAACTGTTTTTGTTTTTTTGTCTAGGATGTTTATGTATTCATCCGTCCTTAACTGTCGTCTAGGAAAAAGAAGCTGTCATGGATGTGTGATTATAATTCAGCAATATGTTTAAGAAAGAAGGACAAGAAAAGATCTTATTCAGAAATAAAATACAATGCTAGTCTGACATTGTGTCCCTTTCTGAAGAAGAGCAGATCATTTCAGATGTGATTTTATAATTTAGTTTAAACGTACTAATTTCCAAGACTGCAACATGGAATTTAGTATTGGACGGTTTAATGTTTGCAGTCGAGTACACACAAACTTCACTCATCTCCGTCCAAGAGCAACGCGAATTGATTTTTTTTGCTTTTTTTAAACGCTTATTGCACTCCACAGACTGAGTGGCACTCAAGGAGCCTGTGGCTACAGAGGCGAAGGGAGGGAATTGTTTTCCATTATGTGACGAGCACACTTCAGCCAGCGTCTCTGGTGGAAAAAAAATACAGACTTATTTCCTCCTGCACTTCACCATCACTGGCAAACAAAGGACAAACAAAACACTTTGTCTCTGTCCGGCGCCTTTATTCTTTTTATCCTCAAGTGTGCGCAGGTTTATTACATGCCCGTCATCTACACCTTCCCGAGCTTTGCGCCGGCAAGTGGCAGCGCAAAGCCTCCATTTAGTAAGCAAAAGGCATCCAAACCTCCGAGTGACCAGTGCCAACAATCAAGTATGTAGCTAATTCTAGCCACACAAAGGCTTAACGTAGATAATTGGAGAAACTTGAGTTTCGCTGGTGGAGATCTAAAGCAATAAAAAGGTGCTTCTTAAATGAAACTGGCCTGAGCTGCAATCACAACAGGTTTCGTGAATAGCGTCAGTGTTAATATTTGGATTTCCACCATTGATGGCAGCATTTCTACCACATGTCAACACAACGTTTGCTCGGACATAAGAAATCTCCAATGAACAATAGCTCAACACATCAGATGTGGATGTCAACTGACGCATCGTTAAAACGGACATACTGTCAAAGTATATTGTGTCCCTGGTATTCTCAACAAATCCCATAAAAACACAGTAAACAGCAACATGTTTGTCTTTGTCAAATACAATTGGATACTTCCCTCTGGTATCTGTCCTCAGCCCAGGGATTCCCATACGGACGACCATGTTTAGCCAAAGTAAATATTTCATTTGATTTCATCAAAGCACAAAAAAGGTACAGGCCCAATCCCAATGCCCCCCAGTCTCTGAACTCTGAACCCAGACTGAACTCCAGTCATTTACTGTGACTAAATGTTCAAAAACAGTTTACAAGGTATGTTTATATTAGCATGTTCATTTAAAAGCCCTGTAGTTTTGAGCGAATGTTACTGGCCCGTCCTAGCGGCAGAGAATTGAGGCTGATCCACACATTCTTCCCTTCTTTGAGTTCTGGCATCGGTAAGTCTCTCCTTTGCGAGTGTGACCGGATGAGGGTTTTCCCCTCCCTCTGCACACACAGGTGTGGACCAGCATACCTGGGGCTAATTCCGATTGATTGGGAGAGGCGGGCACATTACTTAAGCCTGTGGTGTGTGGACTCGTTCTGTTGTCTTCTCTTGCTGGGTGCCCGGGGAGACGTGCCCGGGGAGACGTGCGTTATGTTTTGGCCGCTGCCCGAGGTCATCATTCTGCTGCGGTGTGCGACCCTGTCTTGGTCATGGATGTCCCCGTGTGGGTGGATGTATGCCTGGACTGCTGGCGTTCGGTGTCTGTGAGTGTGTGTGTGTGTACAAAAATGGCTCTCTATATTTTATTAACTGTTGTACATATTGCATGTGGGTCTTTTACTTTTTGTTATTTTGTTTGAATTTGTTTGCATCTTCCTTATTATGCATGCTGGTTTATTGATTTGAATAGTTTGTTTATTATTGTTTTCTTTATCACTCATCTACTCTCTTCTTAACAAAGAACATATTGTCATTTTAAAAATATTTAACCAAATAAAACCGTATATTTTTATAATTACCTTTTATGGTCTCCGAGCCGTTCACCGAACCAAAATCAGGGGTCAGTGTGCCTTAACAAGAATGGTCTTGGGCCTATCCCAAGTGGCGTTGTTGGACATTGTTATTTTCCTTGAGTGTCACAGGCCACTCATATTGCCACACGAGGTTAGCTGCCTTGAAGATATTTGGAATTCCCACCAAGATTGCTCAAGGCCCGTTTCAAGTTATTGAAAGCTGCAGGGTGGATCCGCCACGCCGACTCCGTTCTATTTTCAGCATTTTCTTCAAGCTCTGACCTGTCCGGTTGCTTCATAAATTTGATGGAGCTGCTCCAAGGCAAATTAGCTGATGTAATGAACTGAAATTAAGCTTGAAATGTTCTTTTTATTACCTCAACAGAGAGCGCATTATTTGGAAACTATCTTCCGCAGCACATCTGTTGCTTTAGTGAGCATACAAGGTTTGTGCAGGTACTGACTTAAAAGCACGCTTAGTTTCATTATTTAGTTTAAATATCACCCAGCACTCATTGAATGATTCTTTTTTTTTTTTTTTTGGACAATAATGACATGTTTTAGTTTTAGTATGATAATTTAAACAATAATCAATGCTAAATCATCTTAGGCTTTGGCTACACAGGTACTTGTTAGTGTTTTTAATTTGTTTTCTTTAAGTCAGATCAGCTCAGTAATTCTGCTTGCTGAGATAAACCATTGAACACTGTCAGCACACACCGAAAACAAAAACCTTGTTAGTGCTGCAAATGTTTTTCTGTAATTGTGTAACATGATCACGACTGCACTTTCCTCCACCGCCATTATCCCAACAAAACCATTGACCTGCAGTCCGGCCGGTGCATTAAGAAGCTTTTGGTCAGCTGCTGAGCTCTGTCAGGGATAATGCATTTTGAAAAGGAATAAATCAACGTGTTAAACCATTTGCAAAATTACAGGAAGACACAATATCCAGTTCTCAGCCAGACGCAAAACCAAACGCCACACCCAAAGTCATTTCCCATCACACAGAGCAAATACTAAAAATCTAAAACTTAATTTTTAACTACAGAATTCGAAAGTTTAAAATAATTTAGTTTAAGATTGTTTTATAGAATTATCATTTGCCCAACAATTCTATAATATCAAAGAAATGTACCACGGTTTTTTGAATCATAAAGGATGATTAACAATCATAATGGTTTTGAAGAATGAAGACTTTCCTGAATTTAGAAATACATTCATTAAGATGCCTTTGAATGGACATTTTGGAATTTTTGAATTCCAGCTGTGTTGATTAGTACTTTTCTCTCACTGGTGATTTTGCTGAGTGGTCATCCAACGAGTGTCTCGCTGCTTTTGCCTCTGGACGTCAGACGACTCTATGCCAAAGATACATGACTGCGAAAGGTCAATAACAGAGCATTTAAACCAACAACCGATGCTTTTGTTTGAGGCGATTTGGGGTGACCGGGGTGCATGCAGTAGAGAAGGTGCATCAGTAACTGCATGATTGGTGATTGGTGAACCCCGGCTGCTCCATGTACCGTGTCGAAGTGTCCTTAAGCGGGACTCTTCCCTGGGGGCTTTTAAGGCAGCACACTGCTCCCACTGTGTGCAATGGGTCAAATGCAGAGAATAATTTCCCCAAGAGGATCAAAAAAAGGTTACCTTCTTCTTTCTTTCTTTTTATTCCTCAATTTCATGCTTTAAAATTAAAAACCAAACAAAAGATGAGTATCTTTCACAACGTCCGCCATCTTCAAAAGGTCAGTACACCCCACAACTCTCACATCACAAAGGTTAAAACCTATACAGTATGAAAGCTTTGAAAGAGGAGGATGCAGAATGAGCTTACTGACCAGGAGTCCGTTTCAAGAAGTGGGTTTAGTGGAAACTCCGAGTTTGTTAACCCTGAGATGAGGGAAACTCTGGGTTGTCTGTTTCACAAAGGGAGGTAACTAAAGCTCCGGGTCAGTCGCCATGGTAACTGAGCCTGTGAACATCACCTGGTCGGGAGCAGGTTTGTATGGAAGCCCACAAAAAGAAGGGTTAGAAAGTCAAAATTATGGGATAAAAAGTCAAATTATGGCTTAAGATATGCGCATGTGCAGGCTCCATCGTTGTTTGGTACATTGACTTTCCAAACCCTCTTGGCGACTTCTTGTCAAAAGCGACCAGCGACCTTATCTGGTTTTAATGGGGACTTTTCTGGTGTCTGACGTGACGTGATTGAAGCAGAAACCTGGCGGCTTGAGTCAGAGTCAAAGAGAGCAGAGATCAGACGTCCAGAAATCAACACGCGCATGCGCAAAGCCGCCGCTGATTCTACAGCATATTTCCTCTTTGAGAAATTGGCAACATTGCTTCAATAAAGAGAACTCTTTGGGACTTCAATCGTTACTAATCACGATAACTACAGAATAAATATCACCTGGAACGTATTTTATCTCCCTACAAGTTTGATTTATCGAAATACCAAAGATAATTTAGAAAAAGTCGGACGTCACTGTCCTTCTTGTTACGCTCCCTGGTGGCTCGACCTGGAGCGCAACATAAGGGCAACAGGTGGCAAGTGAGGAGTTAGCCACACAAAATCCAATACACAAAACGTAAAAAAAAAGTATTTTTCAAAAGAGCAACACAGGGATCAACAAGGACTGTCAGTGGCACCAAAGAAAACAACATAAACATCAACCAGCGCTTAGCACCCAAAAGTACAGTGGGTGGTGCTCACTCTAGCCTAGGGTACTAACAACAGGTACACCTACGTGTATGCAATATGTAAACCCCGGAGTATCTTACCTGTCCTCATTGACCCTGTGCGCACAACCAAAAGATATCACAAAAACACCAGTAGGCTGTTACTAATTCAATTTTAACACAAGACAGTGCTCTTCAAACCAAGTTCTACGGAACCAAGTGTCCGTAGAACGTTTACAGTTCGGTAAGTTGGCAAGATATTCACAGATTCGGACTTCCTGGTTTAATAGCTGGTCAGCGAGACATTGTTAAACACAAACGACACCTATGTGTGACCGTAGTCACTAACCAAGTCATAATTTCAACTTTTTTTCTCGTAATTTCGACTTTCTGACCCTTCTTTTTTTGTGCCTAAATGGGCTTCTGTAGGATTTCTTCAATAAAACTGGAGTTTCTTTCACAGTCTCCTCCCTCTGACAGCAGCCCAGCCAATCACACAGCGCGCTTTCATTTCTTCATTCGGACTTCAACGTGGACAGTGTGTGGCCCCCTACCTAAAATTAGTTTGACACCCCTGCTCTATAACAAGAGCTGATTCATACGGACTTGCCAGCTTGTCTTGCCGCGGTGTGAATTACCGTAAATATTGTAATGTTCAGTCGTCAAGTCTGGTATTTAGATTTACATTTAACATTTAGATATAACATTTACATTTAGATTTACATTTACCATTTATATTGTTTAACAACTTTGTGTTACTGCCAAACATTATCCTTGGAAAAGTTATTCCATGAATTTACATGTATTTTTCTCTAAATGTTTGAAAAAGTGACATAGGAATATTGTCATGCAAACTCAGAGTTTCCCATCTCAGGGTAAATCAACTCAGAGTTTATGGTTTGACTCAGTTTGTTAAACCTCCTACTTGAAAGTATTTCTATAAAACGCTGTGACTTTCAAAAACAATGTATTTCATCAAATAAGCAAGCTTACAAAATTACTGAGTTTGCAATGCAACATTTGATTGGGTTAATCAAAGGGTCTATTTATAATGCGTTAATGTGCACATTATAACAAACATACATGTTGCATATGACCTCACTCATTAGTATGCAGTACAGAGTTAATTGCAAGCAGTGTAATGTCTGAGGTTAAAGTGTATCCATTTTCCTGATAAGCTCCCGCTTCCTGAGAGTCGTGGACACTACAGAAGAAAAACCTGAATTGAAAAAAAGCTGTAAGAAAAAGCTTAGTTGACGTATACAAATAAAAAAAAGACAATTTATAGATGTCTTGGTAACTCTTAACCAATAGTGTGTAGGCTACAGGAGCGATGACTACAGCAACTGTTAAGTCCCTCATTGTGTGTACAGTGAGTGATATTTCGACATAGACTTAATAATGTGGCCCCATCCGTTAAGGTGGGGGTTCTTGTACTGCATTTGGAAAGATTATGACAAATCCTGTGATGAAGGGAACGTTAGTTTTAGTTTCATTCAGTTTGCACAAGTCCCTTCACGACTGTGCGTTAACCTATTCTGTTCCTGGGAAATTCTTTGAGTCACACTATTTCCAGAAAGCTTTGTGTCTGGCAACGGAAAATCTGAGAAATGCTTTGGGAATGAAAGATGTGCTGTGACCAAAACCCAGATTGGACTCGTGTGGCGGAGTCCAAACACATTTTTCTAACCTCCTTCTCTTTTGCATATTCGCGTCAGAGCAAGACAGAAAGACTGAAACGGAGATGAAGGGTGTTTCAAAGTCTCTGTTATAATATTTATCTTTCAGACCTTGCTCTATCCACCTTTCATCTCTTTCTGTAGCAAACCTTTGGTATACATTCTTGTGTGTAGGGAAATACTCAATTCACAGCTGGATTGCCTGCTGGCTTTCGTCACACAAGACAACAGTGTGTTAGTATATTGCCCTAACACGTCTGGGTTCACTGTAGAAACAGCGAGAACTCCCCATATGTGAATCAGACTCAGCCTACTTCCTGACTTCAAGCTTGTATGTTTTTCTCAGTTAACCCAATAAAGTTCCTCCGTATATACACTGAGCTGTAATGTAGGTGATCAGTGAAAGTGTCCTCAATGTGATCCATATCTATGCGAGTCGCCGTGGCGATGGGAAAGTCAAGACCAAGTCAGGCTTTAGGTGGGCGACGTGGTAGCTGTAGTTCTGCGTGTAGGGTTTGAGTTCTTTGAATTGTTACAGTGCAGCAGTACAGTGTTTCTGTTTATGCACCGTCTGGTTCTCGTCCCTCCCCCGAAAGCACACTTCCTCTGTGCACTGTGAGCCAGACCTCCTCATACATACACGCGTCTTCCCCCTTTTGTGCCTTTCACCATCCCTCCTCCCCCCCCGCACGGTCTGCTGATATTTCTACTCTGGCTGTCATCGCAGACACAGCCAGCCAAACAAACAGCCGTAGCTCTTCTACGGGCTGGTAACCATTTATTCTTTGTGATCTTCCAGAGTACCATGTGGGTACAGAGGTTTGGCTGCATGTCAGCATCTCTGAAGACTCACCCATGCAGATCTTCCTTTAACGTGCCTGGACCGAACGCCGCCGAACTACAAGCAGCTGTGGAATGTGCGAAAAACTCCTGAATCTACTGGACAGCTTGGTTTTTGCCCTCGAGACACACATCTTACCAAAAACTACAGGTACGGTCGAATTGAGATATTTTATAATGTTGTCCAAGTAGGGTGCTTTTGGTTAAATGAGTTTGAAAACTCCCTTTCCCCTTCCTGGCTGGTATTATGTTGTGGACTGTTGTTCAGCGGGAAGGTAATCTCAAGGATGTTTGAGTCAGTGTAGCAGAAATAATTAGTCTAGAAATGTTTATTCCCTGCAGGGTTGAATGTTTTATGCGGGTCTCACGCTTCAGCCTAGAAAACAACAAGACAAGAAGAAACCGTTTAAAAAATAATAGATATAAATGGGACAGGTGGACTGTTAAACCTTTGAAATGGATGTGGAATTTGGATAGTAAGCCATAAAACATAAAAGAAATCATACTGTTCCGTTTTGTTTGGAAAAAAAAAATGATTTGCCACTCAGCATATTCCCCCTCTCGAGAGAAGAGGTTGAAGTTTTGCTCCTTTGAAATCGTCCTTAGTATCGAGGTTGCGTAATAATGACCAAGCTTAGTTCAGTTTAGAGTATTAACAAACACACAGTTTGCTCAGATGGATGAAAGAACGGCCTGAGGCTTGGACCAGCTGTGTGAAGTAAGCTTACATTAGGATTATGTCAGGAAATAAAACAGACACAATCTTTTACAAGCAAAACGAACACCAAAATATGACGTTATTTAGATCAAAGGGAAAGGAGAAAAAACATATCGATGGAAAAAGAATATTTCATGGCCCATTATTAGTAAGAGGGGCATACGCGTGCACCACGAGTGATGACTAAACAGCCGTCTACATTATTTATCAGCAAAACTTTCCCAGTCGATCATGTTCCCCAACCAACATCATTTTAAAATGTCATGAATAATCGCTGAAACCCCCCTCCCCTCCTATTTCCACACGCACGCACATGCACCTAAATACTCAGTCAGTATACTCAGTATTTAGGTCAGCCTCACCCCTCGCCCCCTCCCCACCCCCACCCCCACACATTTCCATTCACTAAAGACGTTCTGACTCTAAGTGGCTCCTGTTTTATCGAGTTTGGGTGGGACAGCCTATCGCTGCCCAGACGTTAATGGCATTAGATGCTTCCTGGACGCACCAGGGCCACGAGGTAGAAAAGAATGCCACTGTGATACAGACCAGTTTAATTTCCTAATGCTGAAATGTCACAGAGAGACAGGAAATTGAAGGAATATAATGAACCTGAAAAATCTCCATAGAGAAATTGCAACCACATTGTGTTTGTAGGAAATGTTCGAAGGGCTCTTTATAAAGGAGAGACTTCTGACTTTGTTATTGCCAATTTCAGTTGTGTGCCTTTTCAGCACCAGTGACATTTTAAACCGGAAGCCACCAAGACCAACATGTAGTATGTGTCTGGCACAAACCACACAATGAACTAAAGTGATGATGAACTATGAACTAAAGTGATGAATACGAATGAAATGATTTAATGTATCCAGAATAAACATTTAAAGGCCTCTTGTCAATGGGGAGATAGTTAACTACCCAGTTCTACTTTTGTATGTTAAATACTGAACTACAAGTCTAAGACTACCTGCAAATTAGCAATAACCGGTTGGATCTGACTGTTTTATTTTTCCTGTCGCACCGAGCTGAAGTTGTTAAGCACTGATTGCAATAAAAGGCAAATACTCAATCAGCAAGTTCAAACTGTGCTGCCTCCACATAGATTTCGACCATGCATGGGAATAAATTGAACAATTCATAGAGATTTTAATAAAAAGGCACATTAAACGATGTGATCTGGTGGGTTGGGAGCAGAGATTTCAGTTTCCTCAATTTTTTTCATTTTCGGTAGAAAGAAACTAAAAACTGAATATTTGGAAAAGCTATCCATGACATATGTTGTCCGTACTGAGCAGCTGAAGCAGTGAGGAGGGGATTTTAGATATCTATCGATTTGTACTTTGGCTGCCAACTGTTATCGGCAGGGTGCATGACTAAGCCGGCATCTTCCAGGCTTCAAATTCAGAAACATCACAGCACCACCAAATGATTTGATTTGTTGAACCACAAAATAGCATGAGGAATACAACATATCCAGGCTGTACTAAGCCTTCAATGGTTTAGAAGTGAGCTTGTGTTTCTTCAATCAAATTGACAAACTGCTAAACTGTTTGTTTTTTTTTTTTTGTTTTTTACAGTTGAATTTCTAACCAGAAAAGGCAAAGAAAATTATTGGAGCAATGAACGTCACACCAACAGCTGTAAGCACAAACACAACATTGTGTGTTAATATTGGGGAAAGCGCCATCAGTGACTTGCTGATGTCCGTGTACATCCTGGCTTTCATTTTTGGGCTGATCTTCAACGTGCTGACCCTTGGCCCCATTTGCCAACAAGTGCGGCGGCAAAATGTTCTGGGAATCTTCCTGCTCAACCTGTCCCTCTCCGACCTGCTTTTCCTCTTCACCATGCCCCTTTGGATCAATTACTACCGAGAGGACCATCATTGGAGGCTAGGTCCTCAGTCCTGCAGTGTAGCAGGCTTCTTCTACTACACCAACATGTACATCAGCATCTACCTGCTCTGCTGCATCTCCGTGGACCGCTGCCTGGTGGTCACCTACCCGCTCCGCTCCAAGACCCACAGGACGTCCTGCTACGCCTGGGCTCAGTGTGCCACGGTGTACGTTGTGGTGATAGTGCTGCACATCATTGTACTGTATTATGACAATCTCACCGACGCCCATGACGAGGTCAACAACAACGACCGCTGTTATGAGACCTACCCCATGAAGAGCCCCGTGCCCTTGTTCAACATGCTCAGGGTGGGCGTCTGCTTCCTGGTACCCCTACTGGTGCTGACGGTGAGCTACTGGCGAGTGCTGGCCACCGTGGACCAGAGTCCCGGCCTGAGCGCCCAGGCGAAGAAGAAGGTCCGCCTGCTGTCGTTTGGGGTGATTGGGATCTTCTCCATCTGCTTCGCTCCGTATCACATTTTCCTGCTCATCCGCTCGCTAGTCTTCTACAACAGCAATGATGTTGAAAAACCTGAAGGAAGTTACTGCCAGTTTGAACAGAATGTGCACTTTTCGTTCTCCTGTACTCTGGCGCTGTCCAGTCTGAACTGTGTGGTGGACCCAGTGCTGTATGTGTTAGTCAGTTACGGAGTCCAGGAGGAGGTCAAACTGTGTTGTAGAAGGCAAAGAAAGACACATACTTCGAACTCTACTTTAACTAATAATGCCAGAGGACAGCCTAATGCTAACTTAATTTGAAACTGAAGAAATGTGCGTGAATACGTGCACTTTTGCATTTGTATTCAGTGTGTGTATATGTGTGTATTTGGATGTAAAGTGAGTATGTAACAGGAATATTAACATCCCATAACCACCTCTTCATCAGATGCTTTTTTCCTCCCTCATATCTTGCAGAGGAAAGAGTGGGTTGTTGAATAAAACACGTCTCAGAGCTCTTTAATTGGATTGTATTCCCCAGTTCTTTTCTTCAAAGAATTCTGTAGTGGCGGCCACTTCTGCTTTCTGGCAACGCTGCTGGAATTGAAGAGCACTTGTGTTCCAATCTATACAAGGAGGTTGTGATTGTGATTGTGCGACTCTGGTATATCTCAAATTAACCCTAAAGCATGCAAAAAACCCCCACATATTAGCGTAAGCGTGTGTCTGTATCGTCAAACATTTAGTGAAATGTGAATATAAAATCAAAGAAATCCAAGGTTCATAAATAAAATGGGTGATGAACAATCGGCAGTTGGCCTTTTATTCATTTCCAAAATGAAATTGCGTGTAAGTCAGTGTGAAGTTGCTAAAGGAAGCAATTTCAAATGTTTGAAAAGGTAAAGAAGGTTAAAAAAAAGCTGAAAAGAGCAGGTCGATGGAGAATATAAAGACTCTTATTGCTCTGTTTAATAATGTGTCCATTTTAGTGTATCGTAGTTTATAATCAAAACATCAAATGGGCACTCGACAAATAACTATATGCTCTCAAGTGTGATGAGGTTTGTAACATGTTCTCTTCCCTTAAAAGTCTCTACTGCAGACTTGTCTTTCTGTATATGGAGACAGGACACTCCTGTACTACTAAAATGTTTTATCTTAAAACAATATGTTGTTGGTGAAAATGTAACTGCTGCCTGGTTTATGGTGAGCGGTAATGTTTTTCTTGAAACGATATGGTTTGAAATTTATTTGAAATAATGAACATTTTATTAAAACGTTCCCTTATTGTGTTGGTAGAAAAGTAATGAGGGTGGGGTTTTTTTTGTCACTCTAACGGTTGCCGGTTGGAAAATACATGAAGGACAGTGGTTGTAATTTTCTCCACAGATCTATTAAAAGGTCTAAGCGACATGCAAAATGTAATTATTCTTTTTTCATTTTTCCCTTGGCAGTAAGCAATCACTTATTGCTAATTAGTTAAAATGTGCTGAATTGCTGCTTTCCTGCTGCTCGACGGGCTGTTAAGTGCTTTCATTTTCTCTCTAATGAAAGCACAATTCAATGATTCAATGATCGGAGTCAATTTGTCCAAATCCAAATGCCGTTCTGAACAACAAACCCAAAGGTTTATTATAAGTATTCATTTTCTGCTCAAGAATTAAAAATGAATATTTTCATGTCAAAATGTGTAAATATTGGTAATAGTAAAGTATGTAAAAATAATTTATCAAAACGTCATAGCATAGAGTCAAAATAAGTCAAAAATTTCGTACAGTATAGTACATCAACAAATTAATGAAAAAGTCATTATATGGGTAGCATGATGAAAAAGTCACAGAAAATAATAATTCATAGAGCATAATCCATAAAGGAAGCATGTCAAAAAAGCTACAGTATCAAAAAGTCAAGGTGTCAACGCACAATCTCTCCACTGATACCCGTCTTGTCATTGCGACCTCTGTCTTGCATTTTTTAATTGTAGTGTCTTAAATCAACACAACCATTATTGCGCCATCCACCGGCATTGGAAAATATTGAGTACTTTATTTAATAATGTTTTTTGGGACAGACTCCGTGAAATTGGAAATTTTCTGGCAGTAACTTCACAATCTACCACGGCACAGTGGTTGAAAATCCCTGGTATAGTAGGTTGCCACAGTCAATAGTAAAGTTGTATCGATGGAAAGTTACAGTATGTAGCTGGTGGGAAAATGTATAAACAATCGTCAAAAAATCTCTGCTAAAAACGTACTAAAAACTCAGTAAAGTATGTCAAAAAAAGTCATAGTATAGCATAATTAGAGTATATACGTACCACAGTATTTTTTTAAAGTCATAAAATAGCCACGTAGTAAAAGCCATAAAAAACTAAAATCTTAACATTTTGGAAAAGGTGTAGATGTATTTAGTAGTTATCGAATAACATGCTAAAAAGAAGAAGAAAATGTGTTTTCAGATTAAATCCACTATTACTACACCAAAATCAACAGTAAATAAATGACTTCTGCCCAAATCTGTAAAAACATCTTGTATAGACCCCGAGAGGGATGTCGGTAGAGCTCTTAATAGGACACCTGACACTTCATACCAGATAAACATTTCAAAGTTATTATTTGCGAAACCTTTCCAGAGCCTAGAAAAGAAGTCTGTGGGAGGCTCAGTAGGAGAAACACTCTGCTCCTCAAACAGATTTATACACAATTAAATCTGCATCAACAGTCCTGGTGAGTTTTGGAGTGTTTTAAAAATATGTTTACCTTCTGTATCTTTAAGAACTTGTTAGTAATTAATAATCAGATGTAAATCAGAATCAGAAAAGCTAATTGTGTCTGTGCCTTTTTACAGGGCCTTTCAAAGTGGGGCTTAACACAGTCTCCTTGTTCTCTTAGAGCGAAAAACAAGGCAGCCAAGCCACACAGCAAAGTAATTTGATTGTTAAAAGGTGACAGGTGGCCTCGGCAGCATCAGACGGGGTGCTGGGGGTTATTGGCTCGCACTAACCTTCCGCCCAACAGGCTTACAAATGGCGTTTTAGCCTTTTTGAGTGGACCGGTTGGTTTTGTTGAAAAATCTGCTCTGCACTATTATTTATTTCTGGGTGATGATTACTACACTTCCAAGTAACAGCAGATTAAAATGTGTCATGCATTCATCATGAGCAGCAATAATTGGGAATCATTAGCAGCAATACAACTGAAAGATGTGAACTAAGGGGAACCCGATTAATGACACTTCTATGCAATTTACATCACAAAAGTCAGATCTCCTTTGACTCCTTGACTTGACTTGATAGGAATTGAAAAAGAAAGACAGCATAGAGAAGGCATCAATCATCCTTGATGGGAGACTTTATTGTTAATGCACTGAATATTACTATAATACTGTATGTCATTTATTTCCAGACAAAGCAAATGCAATAGAAGTCAATTCATCAGGTTACACATTCATGCATATGGTCATTTTTACAAACACGGTGGTGAAATACAAGCTGCAGATTTAATCTTTGAGCAATGTATTGAGGTGCACACAAACTGTACACCCTAGACATGCATGCACAAACGTACAATTACTACACAATGATAACAAAAATAACCATGTAATGGGCCAAAATTTCACATTAAAATATAATGAAGAGGATGTTCAATACAGGAGCCACATTACTGACCGGGGACCAAATAAAACAAGCACATAAGTCCTCTTATTGGTCAGTAACTCATGTTTGCTGGAATAAGTTTGTTGAGGTCCGTTCTCTGAAGTCAAGCATTTAATGTCATATTGTATATAGTATAACCAGGCACTGCAAACAGCCACTCCTGATCTTGAGTGCCGTGTGTCTGCTGCACAACCCAATGTGTTTTTGCCCCTGCTGACATTTTTCAAGGGTGCAGAATCTTTTTAGCCTCTACGTCAGCAGTTCTGCCATCAATGAAAAACACAGGGATCCCAGTAGATGGCTTAATCTTCTTCATCAACTGACTGAACTGCAGCCTGACTTGGATCGGCTTCTTTGACTGTTGGTAATAAGTGGCCTTATCATGGACAGCTTCTAGTAACACTACACGGTGGTATGCCAGATAAGAATGGAGAAATCTCATTTATGAGTCGCCTTATTTTTTTTCCCTGGACACGTAAGACATTAACATCAGTGTGATGCGTGCAGGTCTCGGCCGCCAGGAGCTGCCAACTCGTTTGCATCACAGTGCGGACGGGCCGAAATCAGCTCCTGGACGTCACCCTCTCCACCATCACGCTCGGCCGACTGCTCCAAGGAAAGAGGTAGCCTTTCAGGTGCATGCGCACCTTGCTGTGCAGTGAGGCGTAGATGAAAGGGTTGTAACATGCAGAGCTCATAGCCACTAAATGACAGCAGACTTGTAAGACGTTTATGTAGCGCTTCCCTATGATGTGAAAGTCCGGGTCCAGGTCCAGCAGCAGGTTCAGCACCTGCACAGCGGCATGGGGGGACTTGTGTTACTGTATTTAACTGACTCAAATCAGTAGAGGATGTTTAAATCCCTTCTGGACTTTAAACCTGATAAACCTTTTCAACAAAATGTAGCCAGGCAAACCACTTACTCCTTCTCATTTTGACGACTGAAACTAAAACCTGTAGGACACTGTCAAATGTGATGCTGAAATAACTGGTTAACACAGTAAGTCCCAAAAAGGAGCCCCAAGACCTGCTCCAATTTAAACTTCTTCTATTAATATGAGGATGAAATCATAATATGTTTGTCTCCTGAACGGGTCATTGTGGACTTAATGCTGGTTTTGTGAAGATGATGTATCCGATAATAAGGTTCTTTGGTTAATGGTGCGTAAGGTTTCATCATCTTCTGGAAGCTTCGCTCTTTGTATCTCTTCAAAATGCCGTTGACTGTATAATTTGATAGCAAAAAATGGAAAACCTAGTCTTATAGCTACAAATCGTCTCAACATTTCCGGCTACATAACAGAGAAAGGATGGATGAGCTGACTCCGAGCTGAGGATCCAGGACTCACCTGCAGGGGCAGCCAACACAGGGCGAAAGCCAGCACGGAGGCCACCAGCAGGGAGAAGGTCTTCTTCTTTCTTCGGCTCCAGCGCTGCTGGCTGTTGGACGCCTCCCCGGGTACCGAGTAGCGCTTCAGGCTGACAGTGATGGCGCAGTAGGATACGCTGACCGACAGCAGCGGGATCATGTAGGAGGCTATGAGCGTGAAGCAGGAGTAGAGCAGCCGCAGGTTGCCACTGTGCGGCCAGAATTCCTCGCACACTACTAGGTCGATGCCATTGGGTCGCAGGTCCATGTACTGTGTGTAGAGAGACTGAGGTGCAGCCAGGGCCAGAGACAAAAGCCAGACGCCCAGAGTCACCGCACCTCGACCGCACACCGAGATCCTCCTGCGTACTGGGTGAGCTGAAACAAAGCAACAGCACAACGGTCCAACGAAGGACACTGTTTCACACATTTATGAAACATCCTTTTTGGTATAAGCCTTTGTTTGTGTTTCTGTGTTAATGTCAGCCGGTCTGAGGTTGAGAAATCGACTTGCAATACTGCCTACCATAGTTTGTGAATAAAATGCCACATGCTTTAAAAGATCCTACAAACAGTTGGTTTAAAAAAGTGCTTCTCAGAGAGTCTAAAAACGAATCGCGTGTCACTCACCCACAACAATGTAGCGATCCACAGCGATGGCAGTGAGCGAGAGCACCGACACAAACACTGTGGCGCACTGCAGCAAGGGGACCAGGTGGCAGAGGGGTCTCCCAAAAGCCCAACCCCGGCTGTCAAAGGCATAGGAGACAGTCAGTGGCACACAACTTAAGCACATCAGCAGGTCTCCAGCGGCCAAGTTACTGATGAAAAAGTTGGTGGCATTGTGGAGTTTCTTGTCAGACAAGATGCAGGCCAAAAGGACCGAGTTCCCAACACCGGCCACGACCACCACCAGGCTGTACAGAGGAAGGAAGAGGGGTTTGAAACGTAGAAGAAGCTCTATGCCTATGAACATGTCAAGGGGGTCGCTGTGGTTGAGTCCTTGGCTTTTGTCGCCTTCCAGTATTTCTTGTCCTGTTTGCTGGCTTTCGTTAGCAATCACACTTGCATCCCCATCCATGAAGGTATCCATGTCTTTGCAAGCTACCTGAAAATAAGAGAGACATAATAAATTATACATTAATTATCACTACAGTGAGGTGTCACACGTAACTATACAGAATAATGAAGAGGGGAAATTGATTTAAGTATTTAGGTCACCATTGAATTGTTAATATTATAAAAATTAAGTAGTTTTCTCAGAATTATAAATGATTAAAACAAACTTGATCTGTAATCTGGGATAATTTGGGGATCTGGTTATTTCAAACTAAGATGAAAACTGTAAATGAACACAAAACATGATATCAAATAATACGAAAACTTTTATTGGTATATGTTGCTAAAATCAAACCGATATATGTTGTGTCAGATATAAGCATATTTTCATTCTGTGCCTTTCCACTACCTTGTAAGAAACGGAGTTATTAAAAATCCCTCATAAAAACTATATTTGAGGTGAGCTATACAAAGCTTTAAGGTAATGTGACTGCTGGCTTGCAGGTATGACTGGCAGTGACACTTTGACATTTGTTCCACATATCCTTCTCCTGCTTGGACGCGTGAAACAGGTATTTAGCCCATTAATTATTCATTAATGACATTTTAAAAAGTTGATTCATTTAGCAGAATGAAGGTTTTTATTCTTGTAAATCCCAGGTACTCTCCAATTAAGGCTCGTGGGGCTGTTTGTTGAATGCTAATAAATTAAGCTTTATATTAGCTTTGATAAAATTACACTTAATCTCTGCAAGCCAGCAAGCTAGCATTGTAAGCCAAATGCCAATCTTTTAAGATGGATAGAAAACCAAAGGAAAACGGTTAGAAAAATGTGTTGGGGGAGCCAGTGGAAAGGGGCCCAGTCCAAAAAGGGGCTTCTTGGATCTGTTGTGTATCGTCTTTTCTTTCCGACGCCTTTACATTCTCACTCAGTTGGCTTGGCGGCCGAGGAGCTGTTTTTCCATTCTGTAGCCTTTTAACTTTGTCAGTTAATACTGAAAACAACAGCTTGGTGCTCAGAGTAATTCCCTGCCTGCACTCTAAAAGTTTTTTTCTGATGACTTAGAATGTCAACTTCTCTTGCTCACAAAAAAAGAAGAAATCTTGACCTTTGTCAAATCAGTGTTTTACTCATATAGAATCCATTCCTAAGAGAAATCCCCTGAAGCATTTGTTTCATTTGTTTTTCCTTTTAAAAAGGTCAGTGTTAATCTAGTTGATTTTTAAAAGTAAGTTCTAAAATATAAGGCTGTTTTGCAGTAAACCCTTCGGTCAGATGTTGCATCTTTCTCCCGGCCCACAAACAGCTGCCAAACTCTCACCCTTCAGTTGACCAAAAAAGGGGTTTCTGAGATTTTTGCAGCTCCTCTCATATATCACAAGATCAGCTTCCCTACTTGAATAGGTTCAGCTCCCTGGTGAGGAGAACAGATCCAGATGTGACCATTCCCACACTTGATCTGACCCAAACAGTCTTATCCTCTAGCTGTGGGTGGAGACATCTGGCTGGAATGTATGTGCCTGCCCCTCAGCCCCTTAGAGCCTTTTGGGACTTTGAAGTTAAATATGAAATGGGTGATTGCAATTCACTTTGAAGATTCTGGAAGTTCTAGAACATAGAATGCTTCATCAGAGGACTGACATCCATCATTCAGCATACTTTTTTATGCTTTATTTTCTAGAATTGAATTTCATATTTGCACATGAGCATCTTATTTAGAAGTCATGATGATTTGCCCACTGGATATCTGATCCAAATGTCATTCCAATCTATCAAATAGCTCTTTTCAGTCTGCACCAAAGCCGTGGACGGAATGAACAAGCAGGACGTTGCCGTCGCTGGAGCCAAAAACTGAACAATTGAGTGGAAAGGAATCACAAACACTGCTGCTTGTGGGGTAAGAGGGGTCACTGAAAGGTGTGACTCATACGCTGTGGCTTTCGCACATCTCAACCCAAATGAAAGTGAGGAAGATTCTAGACCCACACGGCAAACAGTATATCATTATATCAGCCTCATCACAATAGTTTTAAGGAGATTGGGATTGCTACGTCTATTTTCATCAGTGGAATGGAGTTATGTCTAACAATCCAATTATCTCATCTTTTCTAGAAGCAGTGTTTTGAACCCAATTGTTTTGCGTTTTAGCACTCTAAGAAGCTGCGGCAGAATGCCTGAAACTAAGAACCAAGTCTGGCATTGTGGAAGGGGGTGACAGGACAGCTTTCCATCATTGAGTGACTTCATTATTCAGGTAGTCTGATCTTTTAAAGACGGATCCACTTCAGTCGCTAAATATCAGTTTGCGCTCGTGTTACATCGTTCAACGTGTTCAATTAAAAAGACTGTTTGTTGCCATTACTTGCTCTGCAACATTCTCCACATGCGTCTCTCAGGGACGGCAGAAATCTAAGTTGTTATGCACCTGTCCATGATTACTAGCAGGAATAGGTTTCCAATCCCTTCTGGTCTCCCGTTGTCTACATTATCTGACAGCTCGGAAGGAACCACACTTGCCTGGTAACGCTGTTGCCATGGCCTTTGTGGAAACCATCCAGACCGTGGAGCTAATTTGTAAAGCGTGATGAGAATTGAAAGAAGTCAACATGCAAAGCAAGAGGTAAGATTCTTGACAGCTCTCTCTCTCTTTTAACCTTTATCTTTCTTCACATTGACTCTTTTTTTTTCGCCTTCTCCGACTCCACTGACATGTTTAACTCTGCCGCTTTACATCCATGTTGCATTTCCGTCATTGATGGCTGTCAAAGTAACACAGGGGCACATGCTGGACAAACACGAAAGCTCATCATATGCAATTTTGACGAGACAACATGAGGATGAAACTAAAACTTATTTTAATTTGATATGTAGGGGTCCTGCTTGTTTTGACTTAACACTAAACATACTGTATAAATGTTTTAAGTGAGGATATTTGGTGGTCAGAAAAGAAAATATAGTGTGAGCTCTCTTCATCTGTAGATTTCAAGTTTTGTCAATATACAGTACACTCACAACTGACAGGTATTGCTGTAATATGGATGATATTTGAAGAAGATATCTTTGTTTTTAGGTTTTTTTAAGTGCACTGCAGATTTCACACTTCAGCGAGTCTGCCTTTTCCAACCTGCAGGGCAAATCATCAACCTAAATGTTATCATCTCCTGCTGAGCTTTTCATTAGCAGAGGTCATAGCTCGAATAGCATTGACCTAGCCACGAACAACTTATCACAATGTAAGACATACCGTCAAAATATTAACACATTTAGACGCGAGTGCAGTCAGTAAAGACAGAAGTTTTAAGTTCTGTGCGGCTGAATACTCATGAATAATATTCTGTTTCCAACTGCTCAAGAACCTTTTGTGATTGTTGATGCAGCAGTGTAAGAGTAGAACCATTGATTCATTTACGACTATTATTTTAGGAAATGATGCTCCCCAAATTGCCTAAAAGTAGTTTTCATGCCATATTTATGCAAGAAATGTATTTGATATTTTTCCTAATGTTGTGGTTCTTGTCTCTATCTATTCAATTTTCAATACACAACGATGCTTGATGCCAGTACGGGAATAACAGTTTTTATTATAGAAATAATATCCTTTATAGGAAATGTGCTAAGACAAGGAATGTTACTGACATTTTTGACATAATTACAAATTTATTAATATATTTTTACAGTTAACACAAGAGGAATGAGCATATTACAGGAGTGTGTACATCTATATATATATTATATGATATTTTTATATATCTAATACATTGATTTTCTTTATCTTTTATGTCCTATCCAATTCTGTTCACTTCATATATATATAAATTTATATAATATGTGTGAATGACATATGACATATGGTACATAAGTAAGTTTGGACACATTTTCTCATTCAATTCATTTTTCCCCTCACTCAACACTCACAATTAATTCTAATTAGCTGTCACTCTGATTTCACCGACTTTGTCCGTATTTGTAAATTTCTTTTTCACTACTGCGGTTGTTTTCAGTCATGTGTGGAACGTTTAGTCCATTTCATGTCTGCTGCTTGTATCTGATGGTACTTGTGAGTCAGCAGCCTTCAACTGATTCAAATAGATGTGTTAATAAGGCAATTATGCAAATTAAACAAAAGACATTACACCTCTTGATTAGGTAACACAATAACAAAGCAAACATTAGCTGTCTAACAAAGCAAACATTTATTGTATAATTCTGATACTCTGTTTATGTGTAAGTCCTCACTTGCCTGGATGTACAGGAAAATAACGCATGCAATGTATAAACACATAATAATTGAATTTCTTACCTGTGAGATGTTTGCAATTGGAGATACTGCGATTATCCCAGTGTGTCACCGTAGTTCAACCAATAAGCATGTTTTCTTCTCTTTCCTTGGTGGCCTGTTTATTTCTTCACTTGCTTTCTTTCTAGTTATGATCAGAAAAGCTGTTCTTCAGCTTGCATATACAAGCCCACAGGGGTATGAGGAGCCAGGCAGGGAGATGCTGCTGCCTCACTCAGCACAGATTGAGAGAGAGAGAGAGAGAGAGAGAGAGAGAGAGAGAGAGAGAGAGAGAGAGAGAGACCCTCATGACTTCACTTGAAATCCACATAAACTGTGCCCCCTCCCACCCATTCTCCTGAACATATTGTGCATCGACACACATTGACACGCATAAATATACTAAAATGTACCTTTTGCCTGTATCCCTCTTAACAGGAGGAGAGGACAACCTATTCCTTTTGCATTATTGGCTGCATAATAGCCTTGATTGCCTGGTGATTCTTCCACGCCTGAAACAGATTGAGGGAGATATTAGCAACCGTGTGAAAAAGGGACAGAATCATATTTACCGTGTTGTCTTTAGGGGAAATGTCCAGTCGCTAAAAATGAAGTGCAGATGCATACGCAAATCTGTGAGGCAAATATCTGCTCATGCCTCCGCATTAATTTTCATCCACAAGCACAATTTAAAAATAATTGTGTGTGTCTGGAGTGTGTCCACACCGATGACCTGTACTGTCACTCCTCTGACAATTTTTCTGTACTGCCTTTTGTAGTGTAATGTCCTCTTAGAGAAACCCCTGGTGAGCAGCTATAGTCGAAAGCAACATATAATTGTGTTCAGACTCTGCTATTCCTTCATATCCGTCTACAGCTATCTCTGGTAAAGGTTCCTCTTTATCGCTATTGCTGAACATGTGAGAAGGATCTGACTCTTGAGCTCAGAAATATATTCTATTCTACCATAAACATTTCACACCACATCAATTTGGGGCCCAATCCAACGCGGCAGACCAGTCAATAGAACACTCTACCCCGCTGACACGTGAGAGCTTTGAGCAGGGAAGCCAAAGTAAAAAGATCTGTGAGGAGAGCTGAAGTTATGGATTGCTCAATTTCAGAGGGATTCTACATGCAAGGTATTTTTGTAGGTGCCTGAAAGAAAAATGAAATTTTGATCGGTTTGTCTTCCCTCTGTGACCGCTTGAAGATAAAGGGGAACGTGAAAGCGAAAGGTTTTCAGGGTATTTGTAGTTCCAGAACATGTGTTGATGCATCATGGCGCTGCAGGATCCTCCGTTCCAGGACCAGCAGGCTCAGTTTCTACCCCTCAGCGGTCAACATCCTCAGCTCTGCACCACGTTGACAGCCCCTACCACCACCTCCCCCCCTCCCATCCCCTCTCCATCATCGCCAATCTCTTCCTCTTCCTCCAATCACACTTGCACCGTAATGTCTTCATATAGACCTTCACCATTCACATATTTACATACACACCGTATATTATATCTGCATTGTACTTTCTTACCACCAAACTGGTGTTTTTTTAGCAGCACACCACATCTGCCTTTCTACATTGTGAGGTGGGGACTTAAAATCAAATACAAATTTATATAAAATAGGTATCAAAAGTTACCAGCAACGCCACCCAGTTGAGGAGTCTAGGTCGCCATAAAAACAGGTTCTTTTATACAAGGGCAAAAACAGCATGGATCACAGGACATGAAAGCGAGCTTAAAAGATACTTTTATTTTTACCTCAAAAACCCATAAAATACTGTAAAATAACTGCAATTATATTAAAAGTCCAGCTGTAAATTAAGAAAAGAAATGAAAAAGAGTTTAACTCCAGGTAAAATCCAGCCACCGCTGCTCCGTCCTGTTCCTCCCTTTGGCCTGTCGACACCCTGCCCTTGCTCGTCCTCTGCCTTTTCCGTCCCCTTCCTCTCGTTTTTCTCTCCTCTCGTTTTTTTCTCTGCTCGTGTCGTGCTTCATGTTCTTTAATAGCAGCTGTGATGATTGGGGAGGGGAGGTCTTGTCATTCTGCAACGCTTTTGGCAAGTTGCTTCAGTGCCAGTTGCTTCGGTGCCAGCGGTCCCTGTAACCAATTAAGTGTCTCCAGGTGCATGTGATTATTGACTGCAAATAAAATGTGTGTTAACATGCTAAAATGTAATAAAACAAACCACTCTAAAATGTAATAAAACAAACCACTCTAAAATGTAATAAAACAAACCAATGCTAAAATCAATACAAATATTTTGCAGCAACAACCCAGTGAGTGAACTCATGGTGACTTATACCCTCTGTCTATCTTTTGATTTGATGCCCCTATAAGGAAAAGTGATGGCAGATAAGCTTTGACTGTACATACCTTAATTGAAAATAAAAAAGCCAATAGGGTCATGATGGACAGAGAGAGTGTGCATTTTTGGAAGAATAAGTAGAGAGAAACAGAAGATGAGAAGAATATCAAAAGGTGATAGTTACAAGTGAGCTTGAGAGAGAAATGTTCTGCATATTAATTTCACGCTCTGATGGTGTCCGAGCAAGTTAAGAAAATCGTAGAAAACCCCAAATGGTGATGGGAAATGTATGATTAATTAACTGTGTGGCGAACAAATTTCACTTTAAGTTATGTAAAAATGTCCTTCATAGTCCATTGCCAACTTTCATAATGCCCACATTTCTGTAACTAAAATAAACACCTTAGTGAGTAATTGTTGTTAGCCAATTTTCCCATGTAATCCCATGTAATCTGTTGCCTCCCAGTGTTGTTTGCCTTTTGTGCCAAATGTTAATGTTAATGTTCACCAATAGCTAAGCAACTATGAATTGATGCTTGTTCCTGCTTCTCATTTTTGGCCAACACGTCATTGCTGGAGACGGCTGAGGACAGAATAAACTGTGACCTGTCAGACACAATGAGCACGGCATCGATTGGCTTTTAGAAATACTGTGTTTCGAATGCACCTCTCTGTGCAGGCGCTATTTCTGCCGTTCTTGTCTGGTAGGCAGCAGGTGGCTGGAAGATCCCTGATTTAAGGCTTTAGCCAAAGGTAATGCCTGATATATATATAAATATATATGGATTGGTGCCTCACCCTAACACACACCGCATAACATGGCTTTGATTGTATTCTCTTTAGATTAATTGCATTATATTATGTTCAAATGTACATAATCATACAAATGTTTATTGTATATTTTATCTCTTTTCTAGTACTTCTTATTCCTTTTGGGAGAATTCTTCCCCTTAAATTTCTTTCTATTTGTTGGCGTGGATTATTTTTTTTATTGCTTTTCACTGCATAGCGTAAGCATAGGTGTAAATGATCAAATCAATACTTGGTCCTGTTCTGTCTAGTATGTCACGTGAGCCAGCATGCACAATTGTGTCACTAGACAGTGCTGTGAAATCAGCCGGGTCACTCCCACTCACCAGACTATGAAAGGTTAAAGCTGTGGCCAATCGTGAGCAATCTTGAAACCCTCCAAATATACCCTACAGATGAATCACCACATCTCTAAAAAAACTTTATGAAGACTCATAGGAGGGCTGTAATTAAAATATCTAAATCAGGTAGGACCAGTTAGATGAAGACAAGATAATGGTTTATCATCAACAGATGATACGTGAGGATCTTAACAGATGCTTTGGCGCTTTTCCTACAGGAAATAAATCCCCCATGGAGTCTAGTCTGGTGTTAGTGGTGACTCATGAGGCTTATATAATGATGTTGATGAGGCTGATTAAGCTGATGGATGGGTCGGGGGGGGTGGGGGGTTGAGGTATGTGCGTAACAGGAGCATGAACGCTAATGATGTAATTGTTTCATTGTGTTATTGGTGTCACACCTGTATGTCAAGTTGCGTTTTTGTCCTGTCTCCAGTTGTTTTTTGACTTCCTGTTTTATTTTGGAAACTAACTCCCTCTCGTTTCAGGTCCCTTGCCCTTCCTCATGTGTCACCGGTCTGATTGTCTCCCCTGATTCCTGATTGTGTCCACCTGTTCCCACAACTCCCTCATGGGTACTTATAGTCTGCGTCGCCCCTTGTCCTGTGCCAGTGTGTCTTGTTGTTTTGCCCTGCACACCAGCCCTCACGTCACGAGTCAAGTCAAGTCCGATAACGTTTGTCACGTCCTTTTGATCCCTGTTACGTTTCCTCGTTTAAGAGAGATTTTGAGTTTTTGCCTTTTGAATTTTGATCTCAACCTTTTTCCTCATTAAGAGAGATTTTGAGTTTTTTCCTTGTTATTAATAAAAGCAATATCAGCTGAACCCTCTGCGTCCGAGTCCTCCTCCTCCCTGCCTGACAGTACACACTGGCCAGAATGGACTCGGCAGAGAAGGACCAGCTGACGGAGGCGCTGCGCGCTCAAGCATCAAGACTGGCGCAGCATGAAGACCTTGTTGCTGACCTCGATCGAGGGGTTCGGGGACTTGCTCAAAGCCAGGAGGGGTTTAAGACTGCCATGACCACGCAGGTGGGACTCCTAAACAGTCAGGTAGAACAAATTCTCACCTTGCTCTCCAGGAACCCCGCGGCTTCTCCCGAACAACCCCCCACGCCGTCTGAGCCCCCTCCCGTAGCCACACCAGCAGATGCGTGCACGAGGCTGGCACCTCCGGAACGATACTCCGGAACCATCGGACAAAGTAGGTCCTTCATCATTGATTGTGAAATGCACTTCGAGCACTCTCCGATGCACTTCCCCACAGAACGGTCCAAGGTTGCCTTCATGATGTCCCATCTCACGGGAAGGGCCAAGGCATGGGCCACCGCTGAGTGGGCTAGGAGTTCGGCAGTTTGCTCATCACCAAAGAAGTTTGCCGACGCTCTCAGACTTGTTTTTGACCCTGTGGCAACAGACCGAGAAAGGGCTCGTGAGCTCAGTCAGATAAAGCAAGGTGGACAGTCCGTTTGTGAATACGCCATACGTTTTCGCACCCTGGCGATGGAGAGTGGGTGGAACCCCACGTCCCTCTACGATGTTTTTCTGAGAGGGCTCTCCGACCAGATCCAGGACCTCTTGGTCCCATTGGACCTGCCTCTGGACCTCGATTCCCTCATCGCCCTCGCCATCCGCACCGACAACCGCCTACAGGAACGGAGGCGGCAGCGTGGGCCCAGAGGGACACCCGCTGCACCTGGCCCTTCCCCGACGCTCTGGGGCGCCGCATCGCGTCAAACCTCCCCTGAGCGACTCTCAAGAACCCGTGCCGGAGGCGAGGAGGAGCCCATGCAGATGGGGAGGGCCCGGCTCTCTCAAGAGGAACGACAGCGACGCTACCAGGAGGGCAGATGCTTTTACTGCGGCGAGCGTGGCCACCTCATCACCACCTGTCCAGTAAAGGCCAACCAGTCGGTGAGTCAAGTCGCCGAAGTTACTCCTACTCCACGCCGATTGACCACAGTGAGGATTAAGCACCGGGATAAGGACCTAGAGCTGGGGGTATTGATTGACTCAGGGGCAGATGAGAGCCTAATCGACTGGGGGTTAGCACAAAGACTGGGGCTTCGGGTTGACCCGTTGAGTAAACCGGTTAAAGCGAGCGCACTTAATGGAAGTGCATTGTTCACTATAACCCATGTTACAGAACCGGTGGAGCTTCGCATCACCAATCACTGGGAGCGCATACAGCTGTATTTAATACACTCACCTCTGCACCATCTCATCCTCGGGTTATCCCCAAATCACTGGGAGCGTTTAAATTTCAATTTTATTCCACTCAACTCCACACCATCTCAAAACTGGGCGTCACCGGGGACAATTATGGTATGGGGGGAGGGTTGTAGGACCCAATGTCGGGAATCATGCCCTAAAGGGAGAAGGTTGAAGGACCCACCCTCGGGAATCATGCCCCCCAAGGGAAGAACCCCACGCTAAACCGTGTCGTCACTCACCCTGTCACAGACTCGGAGATCACTAATCTGACTCAAGTTCCAAGCTGCTACCACCACCTCGCTGAGGTTTTTAGTAAGAGCAAGGCCACAGCTCTACCACCTCATCGCCCGTTCGACTGCGCCATTGACCTTCTGCCCGGCTCCACCATCCCGAAGGGCCGTCTTTACTCTGTTTCCGGGCCCGAGAGGCAGGCCATGAAGGACTACATCGAATCCTCCCTGAGGGCGGGGTTGATCCGACCTTCCTCGTCCCCAGCAGGGGCAGGGTTTTTCTTTGTGGGAAAAAAGGATGGAACCCTTCGCCCCTGCATTGACTACAGCCCGCTTAACGACATAACCGTTAAGAACAGATACCCTCTACCTCTCATGACCTCAGTATTCGACCAGCTTCAACAGGCGCAGATTTTTACCAAACTGGACTTACGCAACGCCTATCACTTGGTTCGCATTAGGGAAGGGGATGAGTGGAAAACGGCATTCAACACGCCGTCTGGACATTATGAATACCTGGTCATGCCCTTTGGTCTCACAAACGCCCCAGCAGTTTTTCAAGCGATGATAAACGATGTGTTAAGAGACTTTTTAGACCAGTTTGTGTATGTGTATTTAGATGACATTCTGATTTATTCCCCCGACCTAAACACCCATAGGAACCATGTTGAACTCGTCCTGCAACGTCTCTTAGACAACGGGTTATATGTGAAGGCGGAGAAGAGTGAATTTCATGCCGATACTGTCGCCTTCCTGGGCTTTATCGTAGCCCCTGGGAGGGTTCAGATGGATCCGGCTAAAGTAAGCGCGGTAGTAGAGTGGCCAACTCCTGATAGCCGCAAGAAGGTACAGCAATTTCTCGGTTTTGCTAACTTTTACAGGCGGTTTATCAGAGGCTTCAGCGCGACAGCAGCCCCGCTCCATGCTCTTACCTCCCCGCAGGTGGCGTTTCACTGGTCCGCCGAGGCAGACGCGGCCTTCCAGGAGCTTAAGCGGCGCTTCACTACAGCACCCATCCTCACGCTCCCTGATCCGGCTCGCCAGTTTGTGGTGGAGGTGGACGCCTCCAATAATGGGATCGGGGCCATTCTCTCCCAGCGAGCAGAGTCTGACAACAAGCTTCATCCGTGTGCCTTCCTGTCGCGACGACTAACTGCAGCGGAGCGGAACTACGACGTGGGAGATCGTGAGCTGCTGGCAGTGAAGGCGGCGCTGGAGGAGTGGCGGCACTGGCTCGAGGGGGCACAGCACCCTTTTTTGGTTTGGACAGACCACAAGAACCTGCAGTACATCAAGAAGGCCAAGCGTTTGAATTCCCGTCAAGCCCGCTGGTCCTTGTTTTTTAACCGTTTTGATTTTTCCCTTTCCTACAGACCGGGATCAAGAAATACCAAGCCTGACGCCTTATCCCGTCTTTTCAGCCCGGAGCCCGTGGCCAGGGAACCTGAGCCCATCCTCCCACTACACTGTGTGGTTGGAGCGGTTACCTGGCCTATAGAGACCAAGGTGAAGCAGGCCAACGGTGAGACCCCCCCACCTCGTGGGTGCCCAGATAATCGTCTGTTTGTCCCTGTTAATCTGCGCCCACAGGTGATCCACTGGGCTCACTCGTCTTTGCTCACCTGCCATCCGGGCGTACGTCGGACCATGTTCGCCATCACGCAGAGGTTCTGGTGGCCGTCCATGGAGCCGGAGGTCAGGGAGTACGTTGAGGCATGCTCCGTCTGCGCCAGGAACAAGAACTCCTCCAGAGCCCGCGCAGGCTTGCTACAGCCGCTGCCCATCCCGTCCCGGCCGTGGGCAGAGATCTCGATGGATTTTGTCACGGGGCTACCGACCTCCAAGGGGAACACCACGGTGTTGACCGTGGTGGATAGATTTTCAAAGATGGCACACTTCCTAGCCCTACCCAAGCTGCCCACCGCTAAAGAGACCGCTATCTGCATGATGAACAACGTGTTTAGGATCCACGGGTTCCCCAGAGACATTGTGTCCGATAGGGGGCCCCAGTTTGTCTCGCGGTTCTGGCAGGAGTTCTGTAAGCTCATCGGAGCCACAGCTAGCCTCACATCGGGGTACCATCCCGAGGCCAACGGACAGACGGAGCGCCTCAATCAACAACTGGAAACCAGCCTCCGGTGCCTGGTGGCCCAGAACCCTGCGTCATGGAGCGAACACCTGACGTGGGTAGAGTACGCCCATAACTCCCTTCCCACCTCCGCCACTGGCATGTCTCCCTTCCATTGCGTTTTTGGTTACCAACCCCCTGTGTTTTCCGAGACCGAACCAGAGGTGTCTGTGCCCTCCGCCCAGGCCTTGGGTCCGCCGCTGCCTCCGCATCTGGGCACGGGCACGCCTGACTCTAATCTGACAAGGGGGACAGAGTGAAGAAAGCAGCGGACCGCAGGAGAAGACCGGCTCCAGTGTACCAGCCCGGCCAGCGAGTATGGCTCTCAGCCAAGGACCTACCCTTGCAGGTCGAATCACGAAAGCTGGCCCCTCGCTTGTCGGCCCGTCCCCATCTCGAGGATTATCAATCCAGCAGCTGTGCGCTCCGTCTGCCCGGTCCCTGAGGGTACACCCAACCTTTCATGTCAGCAAATCAAACCAGCGAAGGAGAGCGCAATGGTGCCAAACCCCAAGCCACCCCCACCCCCTCGAATGGTCGAGGGGGGGCCGGTCTACACGGTGAGGAAACTGCTGGCGGTACGTAAGCGGGGACGGGGCAGGCAGTTCCTCGTGGACTGGGAGGGCTACGGCCCAGAGGAACGACAATGGGTCTCGTCTAGCTTCATAGTGGACCCGGATCTCATTCGAGATTTTTATAGAGCACACCCGGACATTCCAAGGCCGCCTGGTATTCGGCCTTGAGGGGGGGGTAATGTCACACCTGTATGTCAAGTTGCGTTTTTGTCCTGTCTCCAGTTGTTTTTTGACTTCCTGTTTTATTTTGGAAACTAACTCCCTCTCGTTTCAGGTCCCTTGCCCTTCCTCATGTGTCACCGGTCTGATTGTCTCCCCTGATTCCTGATTGTGTCCACCTGTTCCCACAACTCCCTCATGGGTACTTATAGTCTGCGTCGCCCCTTGTCCTGTGCCAGTGTGTCTTGTTGTTTTGCCCTGCACACCAGCCCTCACGTCACGAGTCAAGTCAAGTCCGATAACGTTTGTCACGTCCTTTTGATCCCTGTTACGTTTCCTCGTTTAAGAGAGATTTTGAGTTTTTGCCTTTTGAATTTTGATCTCAACCTTTTTCCTCATTAAGAGAGATTTTGAGTTTTTTCCTTGTTATTAATAAAAGCAATATCAGCTGAACCCTCTGCGTCCGAGTCCTCCTCCTCCCTGCCTGACAATTGGGTGGAAGAGACCAGCTGATCTAAACAGCTGATGTCTTGATGGACAGCCTCGAACAATGAGAGCAATACAATTATTAGTGAGAAGTGAAAAGCAGAAGTATAATGAATAAACTACAGGCTTTGGCATGTAAGAATATAGTCTTCCTGACTGAATTTACCCCAGCTTAAAATAAAGTTTTAAGCTGGATTGGACTTGGCAATTGTTTAGTAGCAGTTGGAGACACCAGCAACTGTTTCAGTATGAGAAACAACACACATCCATCACATTTCTTCCAGGATTCCTGTAGATTTGGGGATATATGGGTTTGACCTGCATTCTGTGTCATTACCCCGACCCCTGCTTTAGCCCTCTGGAGCTGGCTTGTTTTCCCCATCTGGTATTGCCACTTGTTTAATTGACCATTAAACCTGCTTCTCATCCTGTTATCCAATAAGAACCATGTGGGGACTTATAATTTGAGGGATGGCGTGTTCCTGGCAGAGATACTTTAAGCTTGACTCTGTGCCTAAATCACATACAATAAGATAGTACAGACTGTTATCCATTCATATGGACCATGATGAATATGAGAAACATCTTTCAGAAAATTGCAATCATATTTTTGTTTTATTCATCAATCATTTTTGTCATTCTTCCGGGTGTGTCTAGTACACATAGAGAGTAGGCTTCATTAATCTGCCAAATATGTCGGTCTAGGAAGCAGCTTTGTTTTCTCCATCTGGCTTCAGCGCGGATTGACTCATATACTGTGACTATTTTATATGTATATATAAATCAATATATAAAACTTAAAAACAAATAAGACAATACTGATTCTGTAAAAACTGGAAAAATATATAAAACAATTTGTGGCATGAAGACATGGTGGTGTGTAGAAGCCTTCTGACTGTTTGAAATAAATACTATGATCCGCAGGACTGTAAGAGTATGAGGAGGACTGAATCATGTCAAATAACTAATGAAACAAGGTTTGGGGATGCTGCTAAATGTGTATATTTCTGCTTCCAGGCTTCACACCAGCGCATCTGTCACCATAAGAAAATAGATGCCACAAAGATTAGTTTCTGTTCTGAGTCATTACTATTTTTAAATTATATTTCTTTCACCAGAATTTGTTACATCTGTGTTATTAAAATGTGGCATCGCCTGTATGTCTGTACAAAGGCAAACAGTTATGGATGGACTCCAGCCAAATTTTTTAAATTGTAATTTCACAGGTTTTTATTGGTTTTTGCCTTTGAGCGCATTGTAAGAGTGGATAACTCTTCACACTGTCTTTAGATCAGTTAGCAGAGGCAGTGGAATAATAAGCGATCAACATTTTAGATGTATTTTTACCTGTTTACGGAATATTATCATATTCTTGAAAAGATAACAATAAAAACAAACAAACAAACAAACAAAAAAATCACTTAATACTCCCAGTATTTTGAATGATCCATTTGATCTCCCCACCATCATCCTGGGTAGATAAAAGACTTTTAAACCAGATAAATCTGAATCAGTAAAATGTCACGTATGATAAAAAACACAGATGAGTTCTATTACTTGTGTGGTCAATTAAAGAAGTTCTCCCTCAGACTGTACAAGGCCTCCTCCTCAGTGATCTTCTGCCACTCATCTGGAACCTTTGCTGGCACCCGTTCGTATACCTTTGCAAAACTCGCATTGAACCTGGCCAACACATACCTGCAGATTAAAGAATATTAATGTAATTTTAGAGTAATTTGCATGCAAGAAAATACAAAACAATACACACATATGTATACATATATATATATATATATATATATACTGTATTCTGGTACAGCATTTAATTGCACAAGAATAGAATCATGTAGGAAAACATTGAAAACATTATGATTTTGAAGCCACAACAAACTGCACATTACCTCCAGTAAGCCTTGGGCATTTGGCTGTTTGGGTCCTCAGAGGAGATGCTGCAGTCTGGGTAGAGGCAATGGAGGTCCGTGCCTGCCACAGACATGCCATGTGCGTTCTTGCTCATGCCTGGGTTGTCTTGGGCTATGCTTACAGGGCAATTGATACAGGACAGAGAACCGGCGTCATGAGGCAACATACCTTTGGGCCTGTGGAGCACAGCCTTGTGCAATTCATGACCCTTCTTTTCCAGCTCACATGGAGCTCTGCAGAGAGGGCATTGCTGGTCACAGCCTCTTACTTGGCTGTAGAGGCATTCTTGGGGCTGAAGTGGGAGGCACTTAAGAATCTGGGTGGCCTCCACATTTTCTGAGAATTCCTCAGCAAGGTCCAACCGCATTGCCGCCAACAACTCCATCAGACATGTGACAAAGTAATCCCATTTTGTGGTGATACTGAAGTAAGGTCCATTCAGCGGGGCCCTGGTCACATCCACATCTCCATCGCTCTCTAAATTGAGGCAAAATCTCTCCAGCAGCGGCTTTGTATCACTCAGTACTCCACTGGTACCTTCTGCTGTTTGACTGACTGCTGCCGCTACCTTTCCTACAATTTCTCCAAGTCTTTGCTGCCTCCATTTTTTCAGGTTCGTTGACTCAGAGAGGTGAGCCATCACTTTCTCCTGGATCTTCCTGACTTTGAATTTTTCATGGGAAAGCAAATATTCCAGGAAGCTCTCAAAGTTGTCCTCCTCTATCAATTCCTCCAGCAAGCTTTGATGGAAGGTCCGTGGGGACTGAAACTGCTGGACTTGACTTTGGATCTCTTTGACGATGCGCATCCCCAACGGTCTATGGACGTAATCCATCATGGTCGGTTTGATGACCATCGAAGTAAATGCCTCTGCCACCCTCTGGCACTGGTCTCTCTTCCTGAACTGGTAGATGAACTCTGCCACGTACATGCTCTTTGTTGCAGTAATAAGTGTCAGAAGCTCGCTATCTTTGGCAAAGCGGTCATGTAGTTTCTGAAAGTCGTTGCATGCAGCTCTACAGAGATACACTTTCAGATCCACCTCAAAAGCTGATCTGATTTCAATAGATGTTTCTTTTAAAGCTTTTTCAACATTTTCTAACAGTGTTGTAATGTAGCTGTCCGAGAAATCTGCTGGTAAGGACATTTTATCTGCTACAAATTGCTTGTACTCATCTATTACAGAGCATGCTACCTGTTGAGCGTTTAACATCTGTATTCTGTTGTTGACTTCAAACATGTGCTTTAATCTGCTGCGGTATCCAAAATGCTCATCAAACACTTGGAAGCCAGATGTCTGATTTTGGGCGATGACTTCAAGTTTGTTCATGTGCTTTTGGAGACCACGGTTTATTAGATTCTCTCTCAAAATATCAACCACTCGTGCAGTAATATCATCTTTTTCCGAAGGCCTGAAGTCAAAGTTGGACAGTGTCTTAGTCCATGCATCTTCAAACTCCTTATCTAGCTCTGTATCTTGAAGGAGAACTTTGGTTGACTTGCTATTCTCTACAAGTGCATGTAGCTTTGATTCCTGTTCTTTTTCCAGCAAGGTCTCAAATTTTTCCAACTGTGTTGAAGAACAATAGTTTTCATTGACTTTACCCAACAATTGTATTGTCTCTTCAGTTATCCCCTCCTGCAGGTCATCCATATAGCTCATTAGTATAGGCCTGAAGGTGTTCATTTTTGGAGGGTTGTCTTTCACCAAATAGGCCTCTATTTTGGACCTGAGTTTGTCCACCTCTGTTTTGACTTCATAACTGGCTTCATGCTTCAACTCGTTCAGGAGGCCATAGCGGACGGTGGCGTCTGAAGCCTTTACAGCAAACATTTTCTTTGTTGCCTCCTTAAGCCAGCTTTTCCTGTGTTCAAGGATACCATGCTCCCATTGCGAAATCTCTGTGCACAGTAGAGAGAAAGCTAAAGCGGTGTCAGTATTTTGTAGGCCAATGGAGAAGGATTCTGCTTTCACTGCATCCCAAACAGCGCACAAACGACTCATGAATTCCGGTAAACCTGTTGCTTCAGACCGTCCTGCACACTGCTTCAATGCCCCGAACAGGTTCTGCTTAAGTTTTAGCACAGCATTACTATACTGCTTATCAATTGGTTCAGTTAGGGACAAATTGTACCAAGGGCCTTTGACATGGGAGATACAGCCGGTTTTTGAATACTGCTTTGCTGCATTGCTAGTTCCTATGTCCCCAGTGTCGGTCTGAAGCATATCCGATACACGCCTCAACTGTAGCGCTTGTATTGAGCTGTTCATTTCGTCATCCTGGGCCAAGAGTTGGCAAATGGGCATGAATCCTAATTCTTTGATGCGTAGAAGAGCATTGACCATGACCGTGAAGTTTGTCTCAAACTCAGTACCCTCATGAGATGAGATATTCTGCATTAAAACATCACTCAATCCTGTTGCAACAGTGGCCATCTCGTTGTCGTGGATCAGCAGTTTTTCATTGTTGTCAAGAGACATTGAGGAAAGACCTTCAACATCAAGCAACAACAGAAAATCACACTCCATATTCTTTCTGAGATTTTCGGGGAGATGCAAGGCAACCATGTACACCCCTCTTGTGGATCTTTGCCTTCCTTCAGGAAACGTCACCCCAAATAGTGCAGAAAGAACCTCAGCATTCATACCGTGATGCACTCCAAGGTTTGTCAGCACTCGAGTTCTACACTGTTCTTGAGGTAGGCGACGTTTGAGCTCTGCGAAGACACAGCCCAGCCAGCGAACGGGTATATTTGAGGCATCCCCGTCCATTACTTCAAGAGGAATCCCATAGATTAGAAGGTCTGTAGCTAAGCTTGGGAGACGCAACGCTTTGAAGCCCCCACTGCTGGGATTGGTGTGTGTTAGTTCAAAAATCAGGCCCATTTCACGCAAAAAGTGCTCAAGCCCAAGAAAGACTGGATCAGCTTCCACATGCTGTGATCTTGAGGCTACCGGATGTTCTAAGGTAAGATCCAAGCACAGTTGTTGTCTGGCAGAAGAAATTGAATCTCCTTTACCAAGTGTCAGCTTTTGTTCGTCTAGCCGGGTCAGCTCTGGTCCATCTGCTTGGGTCACCTCGGCATCATCCAGCTGTCTCCATCGGAGGCTTGAAATCCCATTTTCTCCAGACCCCTTGTTGGATGTTTCATCTGACTGCTGATCGCTGACTAGACCAATGCAGTTTATTACAGGCAGCTCTTCAGGGGTTTCCTCTTCAAATGTTGAATCGGTGCAGAAACTATCACTGTCTGTCAAGGAGTCATTAGTTCCATTTTTTAGCTCATCATGATGTTCGGCCATTTCCTCAATTTGCTTCAACCGAAGCCTCAACTTCATCCAACTAAGAAAATAAGCCCTCTCCACTTTATCTGTTGTGAAAAGCGTATTGGTGAAAATCTTCATTGCTGGAGTCATTTTGTAGGTGCTCAACTCTACCAGGATGTCTTTCTTCTTTTGTTGAAGTTGTGAATCAATTTCTTTTCCTTCTTTATTCTGTTTGCTCTCTTCCTTTTCTATCTCAGCAAGTTTACTCCACAAACGCCCTTGCAAAGGAAACTGTTTCAACCTAAATTGAGCAGATCCCTCATCTAAACCTTTCAAAACTTCTTCTACCGTGGCCATTGCCTTTTTACAGACCACCCCTTCATCTACTACAAAGCCTAGTTCCTCTGCTAATTTCATTGCTGCTTCAAGTGAAACAGATTTCAACTCATCTGGTAACATATCTTTTAGGGTGTCACTTAGCTTAGTGGCCAATTCCTCCTCACTCAAACCTCTCCCTTGCACCACTGATACCCCCGGAAGTGCCATGTACTTCTCCAAGTTCTGATCAACAAAACGCACAACGCTGTTCTCGTTCTTCTCGACATATGATAGGTCAACCAGTATCAGCTTGCTTGCCATATCTTTGCAGGAGGCCACAAGTTGCATTTCTTTCTCCCCGAGATTACCACAGAAAACAACGACTGCTGAAGAAGCTTGACATAAAAGGCTGAGGTATTTATCCTGTGTACTCAAGTCCCCACGGAGGTTAGAGATGACTACAGGGACAGGGAACAGATCTCTTGCTGTGTCTCCCGTGGGCAAATACCATCCAATCTCCACTAGGCCATTGGAGAGTCTATGGGGCAGCTCTCCTCCATCCATTCCCCTGTGGAGAAATGTGTCACGGGAAGATCGGAGTCCACCTATAACATTGTTCAGCACCTGTGACTTGGAGATACCACAGTGACCAAGCTTCACACAAGAAACCAATGGCATGTGCGTGCTTGCCAAATCCCCCTCGTGGACTTTCTTGTTATTATCTGGCAAGGGAGACATCCATCGGCTAATAGCACCTCTCAAAGGCCAAAGAAGAAAACGACTGGGTTCTTCTGGATCTATGTTTGGAAGGACCAGAGGCACAGCGAAGTGGCACTGCAACATGCGTACAGTTATCTCCTGCTGAAGGAAAGTGTTGGCGGACATAAAGATAGCTGTAACTAGATCAAGAGGGTTGACGGCACACTGGCTTTCTCCTCCAATACCATCAATCATCTCCTCAGGGGATTTATTGACATTATTTAGAACATCATCTGGAGGTTTGCAACAAGGACTCCGGGCGTCTGGGCTAAGCAGCCAAAGGCGTTTAAGGAAAGCATTTGGCAGATCCTTCGGCTCTAGAGGGGGTTCGTTCTCCACATTCCAGGTGCTGATGTCCAACATGGATGCTGGGTCAAGTGGTGCAGTCAAGAAGGCCTCTAATCCCAGTTTATTCAGGACCTCCGCCTGGGCATTGTCCCTGGGAGGTTCTGTTTTGAGAAATAATCGATAATTTATCCTGGGGAAAAGCTCTATTTTTACAACATACACAATAACATAATTTTTAAGATAAAAATATAATTTTAGTAAAAGATTTAGTGCAAACATATTGCATATTTTTATTTGTAAAAACTTGGGATTAGACTTGCACATAGATAATGTCAGATGGAGGTCTTTGAATATACAAAATCATTTTTCCATCATTGATTTTTTAATGTAGTTTCTTCGGACTAATTTGATTAGAGTATGTTGTTACTCTTATCAGACTTTGATTAAAAAAAAGTAATCTAACATCTAACATTTCAGAAAACATCTCATGATTCCGAATGAAATTAAATACTTTTACAATTCATTTTGTGAACATATTATTGTGATATTTATGGCAGATGGGAATTTAAACATATTGTTTTGAATATTTCATAAACAGTAAAGGCCCATTAACGTAAAAAAGTTTTTTTTTTTAAATGAAAATGAATAGTTTTGCAACATAATACAAAACGGAAACATACTTTTCTTTTTGCTGCTCAACCTCTTAGGGAGCTTCAATGACATGATGAATCCCGCTCACTGACTCTTCTCAATGATTAAAAAAGGTCTTTTGTTTTTCTCAGGAACATCGGGAACAATGTGGGGAAACCTGTAATAACATTTCGCAACATAAACATTACTGGCAAAGCAGGCATACAGATGGCAATTCCTCAAATTCCTCCCCGAAAGATTCTTCGGTAGCTTTTCACAATAATATTTTCTTAACCATGCTCATAGAGTGACATCTCCTAATAGTCAGAATAAAGTAAAATTGATCAACATAGAAGTGACTCCTTCAAAAAGCAGTTTGGACACTTCACAGCTAAAAACTTGCTGTAGTTTGTTTTCAATTGTCTCTGTAAGGATTTAGCTTTTTGGGAACCGCAACTGTTTTTCCTGTATTGTAAAATGAATAATTTGAAATAAAACAGTAAGAGGAAGAAGAACCGTCCAGTCGGGTAAATTCCTTTCACACTGCTTCAACTTGCCTAGATACAGTGTTGGCTATGCACACTATACTACAAACAGCCTTCTGCACAACACTGACCGCAGAAGCGACCATGCATGGTGCTACCTGCACATCAGGATCTAAACTAACCACTCACACACCTATGACAGTCTTCTGGAGGACACTGAGCTCTTCCTCTGAACCAAAACCACTTTCTTTGTGATGGTGCGTGTGGCCCTTGGTAGAAATATCATTACAAGCCTTATTTCCTTACCTCCATGTCCTCTCAAACATCCATGGCAAATGAAGAATCCGTCGTATTCTCTTCAGTCACAACCGCTGTGGTTGTGTCTCACTGTCGGGACAGTTTTTATACACGTCTGTTCAGAGATAAGACACATTCCTGTTTATCCTTCGAACAAATTGAACGTCAGTCTTACCCAACATTCATGAGGGTACTATTAGACAAGTGTTATCAGTCATCATGTAAAGCCTTTTCACATAACAAGCTTGATACTGAGATAGCAGCAGGAGGTGTCTGTCTCTCACAACAGTGTATGTTAAAAGTCTTTCACTGACACCTGTGCAACGTTTTAATTATCGGTTCTGGAGGAGTGGCTGCAGACAATGACGCACACAAACCCAGGGCCATGGGTGATCGCTTACATCTATCTGATTACTGCGAGTGTCCGACATACTGACGCTCCTCGTTGCTCTTAGAAGGCTTGTTCTCCTTGCTGTACTCACCTCCCACTTGCCTCCCCCCTTTTCTCAGAAACACCTAATCACACACACACACGCACAAATCATTGGAACACATCAATTATAATAGAGAGCAGCCATTCTAAACATGAAAGCAATGTAAAGTACTTATATGTTTTACAACCTTACAAAAGGCCGTATTGCATTAAGCGTTATGGATTACCAAAATAAATTATCAAAATGAAAAAGGATAAAGGGATTTCTCACAACCAGGCCCCCCCCGAATGTGTTCTTGATAATGGCTTACAAGTGATCTGTAAAGCACAATTGTATTATTTATTAGTTATAGTATAAGTCTCTGGCTATAAATTATAAACACTAAAACATGCTTCAAAGTAGTGGATCTAAATCAAAAAGTGAACTTGTTTGAGAGCTGTTTTAATTAGCATGAAAGACATTTGAACTTGAAGGAAGGTAAAAATCAAACACAAAGCAATGATCAGTTAGGCTTATTATAGTTATAATCCAATATTGGATCAATCTGCACAAAAAATAAAAACCTGATCTGCCTCCTCTGACTGAGACGAAGGATAAGTGTTGTGCAAAGCGAAAGATTACTGCGTCTCTATTTCTGTCCTGCAAAGCTCTTTAACAGTCTTAGAGACATTGAGAATGAAGTCTGTGTGCGCGAGGGTGTGTGTGATTATGTGTTCCTGAGAAAATTGTGAGAGAGGTCAAACTTCACACTGCGTCTTCAATTGTCTTACGCTCGAGTAGCCAGACGTCGCATTCCTGATTACTCAAATTGGTTGTTTCAGCTGGACTGAGGACATTTGGCGAAAACCGAGGAGGACGTTTTAAGGATTAACAGAAATATCAAAAGGAATAGTGGTCAAGATGTTGATCACCATGCTAACAGCCATGTACATGGTGGTCAGGGTCGTAGAATCGGTAAGATGACTATAATGTCGAGAATCTAGTTGATTGTCATTATTTATTATTTTATGTATTAGTTTTAAACTAATGTTCTTACTTTAAACATTAAATTTCTGACAATATCAAAATATTCCAATTTAAAATATTCTGAAATATAATATTGCAATAATAAACTGCACTAATGGGTAAAGTGAGCTGTGTTTTTTCTAAAACAAAACATTGCATTTTTGTGTATAACATAACATGTTCATATAGATGGATTCAAAATGAGTTGATGGTAATGTCAGCGGACAGTGTCAAATAAACCCAGATTATATTAAAGGTGATGGTTAACCAAGTTTTAATGTGCAGTATTATTAAACATTATTTATTTCTACTAATTATCATGTTTTAGTTAGAAGTGAAATAATTCCAATAAACCTCAGATTTGTACTGAAATAGTAATATAATTGCTTTCTTAATGAATTTGGGTTAGGGTATTATTATTAAGTTATTATTGGGAGTCACATGGAAGAGACTCATGTTGAGAGGGGAGGTTGTCTGCGTCACACTTTAACTCATACGATGACCCTTTTTCACACAAATTTGCTTTTCATTTTCAGATAGGGGTCCGGTTTGCACGTCAACAGGACCCGTTGCCCTACAGGGTGTCGCAGCCTTTGCCGTGGCAGATTCACTCAGTATCACACAGTCGGAGGAGCAGCAAAGCAGATGAGGTTAGTTCATCTGTACCTTAGTGGCTTAGTTTCTGTCACACGCATTAACGTGCCAATGTCAACATGACTGACAACAAAGACCACATCCTCTCAAAGGTTCCATTGCAAAAGGAGCCACAAAACTTTTGCAAATGCACTTAGCACCAATCTTTTGTCATCTCTTGGTAAGAGAGCAGGTAAAAAAGTTTAGCAGTTAAGCTTGACTGATCATGTGATCGTGGTCACATCTTTCTATGAATAGTGTTTCAGAGGACTTTTAGTGCCCCTGGACTCAAAAAGAAACACTCAAAAATCATTGAATAAAATAAAGTGCATTAGACTCAGATAAACAAATCAATATTGTCCACAACTCCAGTTATATGGCCTTTCCTGAAACAAGCTCACTTCTGATGTCCAATGCCAAAAACTAATGTCAGGAAGTTTGGTGCATTTTTCTGGATGTCTGGTTCAGCAGTTAACCAACGCCGCAGGTGCTGAGATGAAAGAGCACATTGGCCCGTTTTGTCACCCCCCCCCCCCCCCCCTTATGTCTGTTAAAAAGAGACTCGACCCCATTGAACTGGTGTGTCGGACTGAGTGCTTGAGCTGTAATCCCAATCAGGGGGATTTGTGTTTGAGGTCATCACACTAACTGTAGAAAGGAAAGACGCACACAGGTGCAATCAAACACGTGCCCATGTGATTGTGATCTGTTTGCATGTGTTATGCGGTATGTGAACAATGTCCCGTTCAAGTCACAGATAAGACAGAACGTTGTCACACCTGTCCAGTATCTCATGCATCTTGTCCTTTACGTCATTGTGTGCGGAGTCTGCGTGTCTTCTAACATAGCTGTGCTGTTTCATTGACAGTTTGATGGCTTCAGGAGGAACAGCATAGGCGTGTACAGAAAGAGTAAGTGACTCTCTACACTAATCTAAATGTCTATTTTTTTGTTTGTTTGCATTGTTACATCTGACTGACTCAAACTTCAAACAGTTTAAAACAACCCTCTTGACCAATGGCTAATGTGGAAACAATGTGTTTGAACCTAATCATTGCTGCAGACTATGTCTCCATGGCTATTGCCTCAGCCTCTCTGGCTATCCCCTGTGTCCTATCGTGCTCAGACTCCAATGCCAGCAATGGGACATGCACCACACCGGCCGTCCCGCCGACGGGCCCCGTCGAAGTGGAGAAGGCCGCTGCCACCATTCAGACCCATTTCAGGAAGTTCCAACAGAAGAAACATAAGAACGGCAAGTAGATGGACAAAGAGGGACGGTCATAGCGGGACTGCTGCAGACAGCAGGAAGAAGGTGTGGCGCGTCTGGATTCATCAAACCATGGATGAACTCTGTGATAACATCGGTGTGCGATCACTCATTGTCAAACGTACATTCTGCGAAACCTGAACAGCACAAACATAACATCAATAACTTTAACAGCTCATTGTCAAAATATATGTAATCCTACGTGAAAAATATTGTATTGTAATATGGTGTAAATCTGTTGAGTATACTGTAAATATAAAATGAGAAAGAAACCAGTGTTTGAGCGGAAAAAACAAAACATTTGTCAACATGTGGTTCTTTCAGTAGCAAACATGTTTTCCAACCAATCAACTCCCCTCGCTGTGTTTCATTAGCGCACGAGGCCCTCTAGTGTATCAATCCGGTCCTGAATCAAATGAACCAAAATGTGCAGGGGTTGATAATAAAATAGCAAACAGACACACACACACACACACACACACACACACACACACACACAGACACACACACACACACACACACACACACACACACACACACACACACACAGTAGATGGTTGTAAAATAATGACTAATTGAATAACACTTCATAAAAAGATAGCTTTATTGCACAAGGTGTTGAGTACTCTTTTTCTGTTTTTGTTTGTTTTCATAGAAAAGAAAATGTAGAGTTAAACACAAGCAATTGCAAATTGAAGCAATGTGTCCCCATAAAAGTTTAAGGAACAACATCTGCATTTTAAAATGTTTTAATTGAACCCCTTTTTAACTTGTTAAATTCACCATGTTCCTTTTTTAATAATCAGCAAAATGTTCAGAACATGCAATAATGCTGTCCTCTACCCCGCCCCAAAAAGTGGATTAAAAAAATGCAAACTCTAAATCAAGCAACCTGTTACCAAGTAAAAAAAATTAAATCAAACAAGAATTATGAAAAAAAGAATTTAAAAAGATACAATGCAACCAAATGTCCTGTAAAAGAAGAAATAAATATTGTTAACTATGCATTGTCCACTCCGATCATTAAATCAAGATAAAGCAGTGTCTGTATAATTCTATAGTTTTTCATTAAGTCCTCTTCTGTTTCATTACAATAACTTCAGTTCAAAGTTTACATTGTGCCCTGGTTTCTAGTGAAGATGTCGAAAATAGTACTCATTTATACAAAACACTTTCCTATGTACACAAGTTTCCTATTATGGGTAGAAACAATGTTGAATAAGTGGGCAAGGGGTCCAGTGAGGGGGGGGGGGGGGGGGATCTGATTGGTTGAGCAGATGTGGAAAAGGTTGGGGAAGTTAGCAGATGTGAAGTTAGTCTCACGAACAAAGATTCAGTTTTAAAGTATGTTGTTGTATTTTAAGGAAAAATCCACCCTAAATCTCTATTTAGTCATTGAAATATTGCAGACTGGCCAATTGAGAACGCAGCAGGAACGAGAAGATCCGTACAATGGAAGTTGGGGCACCGTACCGTTATCTCACATGGTTCACGTTCGTTTATGTTTACTTCTAACTGGTCAGGCTGTGTGGAATTGCCATCATCAAATGTATTGGACTTAAATTGAAATCATCCTGGTAAACATTAAAGGAATAGTTTAATATTTAGGGAAATGTGCCTATTTGCTAAACTGCCGTGATTTGGACAAGCAGATGGAAACAACTAGAAAGTAACAACATCCACCTGCCAGCATAAAGTAGCTCACTATTTTACACGTTGTATTTTGTTGGTTTAAACTGTACAAACACGACTAAGAGCAAAAACGTCTTCGCCGGTGGCCTGGCAGCAGCACATGACCTCGGTAGGACCACAACTTTTCATTGTTACACTTTTGCTGATATTCTTAGTAACAGTGTAAAAGCAACAAAGGGAGTAATTTTCCTTAAAGATATACATTTCATATACTTTTAGCAAACTGAGTGGATCAGTGTTTGACTGAAGAGACAACTTCACAGGAGGAAGACGGAAAGTGGGTTAGAAAGAGGTTGGTTTCATCCCTCCATCCGATATCCATACAACTGTTTTTGGTTGCTGAAACAGAATTCCCCCATTCCCGTACTTTTACTGGAAACAAGAATTTGCACGACTCGAAACATAACGGCCATTTAGGAAGGCATCCTACCCACTAACGCGGGTAAGCTAAACAAATTTCTTTCCAAATTCAGAATGAAAGGGAGCATTAATACGAGCTGTTACCATCGTTGCTGCAGGATTTGTATTAGCCTGCAGACCCGGAGTTTGGGGAGGACTCACTTTGACATAGCAGAAATACTTTTTTTATGCGGTTTGTCTTCATTAATTATAGTCAGGTAATGGCATACACCTTTCGGAAGGTACAATATGACATATTACAACAGGCTCACTTACTGTAAAGGCTGTCCTTGTTTTAGTGTTTTCTTTTTCATCACCACACGTTCTGCACTGAGCCATCGACCACAGTTAACCAGCGACACAATCTCACACTATATTTTGACTTTACTGTGCTCGAGCTCTCAGCTGCAACGCCTGCTGCGTATGCGCTGCAGCTGGAACATTTACAGAATCACAAGGGGGTCACGGTATCGTTCCTTAAACATCACATCGCTTTCTTTCTCCTAAAGATGGCTGTGTGTCCGTGGCTCTGGTACCCGTTGAAGGCCCCCTCTTCTTTCTCATTTTTCCTTCTTGTAGTTTTTCACTCTGAGCGATTGTCTTGTGATCTTTTAAATATATTTTCAATTAGAACGGCTTTTATATTACTCTTCTTTTTTTTCAATATTCATATATTTGCTATATATTTGAATAGAAATATATATGTACATACTTTTGAAAACAAACATATATCATATATTTTTCTTTTTTCTATTGCGAGAGCCCTGATGTTAGGTTTTACCATTGCAAAACATTTGGAGCCACTCATTTTTTTTGGAACAATCTTTGTTATGGGATTAAGCTTTGGGAAAAGAGATGGGGGAGACTTTGATTTAGCAGATATAGTACCATGCATAAAGCTAAAATAAATTTCAGTGAGGTGGAGGGACTTTAAAACATCTATAAGTTCTGGACTCCACATATTTCTCTTTGCTTTGCATCCCCCTCTCCTTGTTTTCCTGTACTCTCAAAGTCATTGTCTGTTTATAAATTTAGGATTTTTTTGACTATACATCTTAATATATTTGTTTGCAACTTCTTTCTCCATTCAAGTTGTGATGAACATCAAGTTAAATGTCTGCCTGTCTGTGCATATTAGACCTTTTCTCTCAGGCTGTCTGTCTTTTAAATAGCCAGTGTGCTAGCAGTGGGTCACAGTGACACTGTATGGATATGCCGGGGGACTGGATGGGTAGGAATGGGGAAGGATAAAATGGGAAAAGTGGATACAGGTGAGGTGAGCAAACCAAGGAAAATCATTTTTAGTTGAAAGGAACCTATTTCATCTGTAATTGCTCTCCCTTGAACCAACTTACGCGTGGAATAATTTCTGAAGCAATTCTGTCAATCACACTGGAAAACAAACTACGAGATGCTGGACCACGTTTGGTGACACAATGTTTCGTCAGCATCATCACCGTTACTCTTCCATTCCCCTTCACAGGTTCATGTGGAGGGGGTTCAGATTCGACACAGACGTCTGCCAGAGAGGTCAGCATACTGATTGATTTTTAAAAAGGTCCACTGTTGGTGTGTGCCTGCCACATGAATTCATATATATATTTACACATATACACCCACACAAAGGCTTGTGAAGGTTTCTGTATCTTGGATCGAACTTGGAACAAAAAATAATCAGAAAACTAATGGGGTGGGGGTTTAGATTCATCTTTCACTTGATGAGGCTCGACATTTTATCTCCTCAGCTTTCTGTGTGTTTCTAAAGGCATCAATTGCTTGTGTAAGACCATTCTCCACAACTTAGAAACCGGTATTGAGGCGACCGTTTTTCTGCCTCTAATGCGTGAGTCCATGATGGTGTGACCTGTGTAAAAAGCATCCTGCAACGGCACAATGCTGTGATATGAGCTCTTCTTCCATCAGAGACCAACAAAGTAACGCATTGAAAAACCTAAAAACCACGAGCAGCCTGGCTCACTCTGGACTGTCTTGATCCAGAAAACAAGACAGTGCATGTTGAAAGCATTTTGTGCATAAGTACTCTGTCCTTACCAGAAAATATATGGTGAACAGATAAATCATTTACGTTTTGGCAAGTGATTTCCAGGGTGATGAAATTAGGGATAGAGAAAGATGACACAATAATAATAGAAAGCAATCAGGCAGAAAGAAAGGCAAACGCCTGTGCTGTGGAGACCCATCGCTGACCCCTTCATGGTGTCAATGGGAACTCAACCAGGCCCCTGCAGCCTGCCACAGCGCAGTCACTGACAGATCAGCTGTGCATGTATATGTTCCTCATCCCACCTTTCCGTAGAGGCTTCAGGTCAGCGCCGGCTCGACCAATATTTCATTGAGAGTTACAGTGACAGGCCGCGGTGATGGCTGGCTACACCAGTGTGTATGACTTGGAGTAAGCCCCCGCCCCTCCATCCCTCTGCTTCTGTAGTCTGCCTAAGCCGGAGGAGCTGCTCTCCAGCAGAGAGTCTCTGGATCCTCCCATCTTGGAGGAGGCCCCTCCAGGAGTCCCTCCCGTGGCGCCGGAGGATAAGGCAGCGGCAGCTGCAGCAGTGGCAGCAGCTGCCGCTGCACACTGGGCCACTGAGGAAGAAGAGCCGGGCATGGTGAGAGTCCTCTGGGGTAGCGTGGAGCTGCTGGAGCTAGCGGATGCCCCTCCGCTACTTCCACCACAGCCGCCGGTTGCTCCTCCGGAGGAAGTGAGGCTGGACAAGCCAGAGTGGCCCATGGTTAGGGCCTGCTGCTTTGCAGAGTCCATAGTCACATGACGGCCCTGGGTGTGGTATGCTCGCTGCGCTAGGCCGCGGATTGAGGCCTCACGTGGTGGAACCACTGGACATGGGTCATGATGCTCCGGCTGCTTTCGAAAGAATGGGTCAGACTTCATGTAGAGGGGTAGGTTGCAGTAGTCACCTGGGTGGTAAAAGTTACATTTAATGTTTCAGCCTGAAATCTGCAAACACTCCTGCAAAATCACCGTTGCATGAAGCTTTGAATTCATCTGAAGAACTTGCTTGGAGTTTTCTCGCATCACTATTGGTATCTTTGGTATCAGACGGAAACATCCTCCATAAAGGTAGCAGTGTATTTTGTTTATGTGTATTTTTTTATTTTTTGTGTACCACAATTTAATAATAGTAGTAGTAATTATAATCAATTTGATTTACAAAGCCTGATTTTCATTCTGATATATATTAACAACGCTACTTCTTTTTCATGACTCGGTTTATATTTAAAGTAGTGCTGTCAAACGATTAAAATATTTAATCACGATTAATCACATTTTTGTCATAGTTAACTCAAAATGAATCACATTTAATCGAAAATTTGTATCTGTTCTAAATGTCCTTTCATTTTTTTCATTTTAATGCTCTTATCAACATGGAAAAAGTGGATTTGCTTGCTTTATGCAAATGTTTTATTTTATTGAAAAACAACATTGCCAAACAAGGCGGTACAAAATAAAATGATAAAGTTCACATTTCAGGTAAAGGGTTAGGATTTTGTATGTACTTGGAAATGATTTGCCTGAAAAAAACGATTTACATGTTGATGTAAATTAATTTAATATACTGTCGTGCTGGTGGGAGTTTTTACTACAAGATGAAGGAGGGGTGCTGGATTAGTTTTCTTTTCTACATGTTGTGTGAGTGACATCTGTAGGACTGTCCCTCAAACAGGATCAAGTAGCTGGGTCACAACATGCAAGCAAAGAAAAAAAAGTTAATCCAAAAAATACCGTTAACACCGTTAATAACGCGTTTAACTGACAGCACTAATTTAAAGAAGTTTAAAAAGGAATGCCATGAGAAAAGTACATCTGGTCCATGCTTTGCATTAACCACTCACTCTTGGCGCGGTGTGGGATGGGCACAGCTACATTCTTGCCACGATCGTAGTCCTGGGGTTTGGGTGGCGAGGCGGTGAAACGGCAGATACCGGGCTCAGAGGGTGTGCTCATGGACGTCATGCTATCTGCATTGTCATTGGTACCGGTGGTCATCTGGTCAGATGAGCTATCGGAGATAAAGCACTCGGTAATCTCAAATTTGGCATGCTGCAGGTGCTCCTCCAGCTTGGCATGCTCATATGCTCTTGCCAACTCCTCGTAAGTTGAGGAGGCGCTCTCTGTCGACACCATGCTGTTCCGACCCTTATCTATGAAAGAGAAAGTAAAGGGAAAGGAAGTTATTCGAGGCGTGGACCACTGAAAAACCACATCTTAAAAATAGCTTTGCTTATAGGTGCATGTTATTGGCCGTGAGTGTCATTTTGCCCACGTGCCAACCTGTATCTTGTGAAAGGCTGGCGCTGTAGCTGTCACTCTCTGTCACAGTGATGCCGTGCTGAGAGCCAACTGTGCGCCAGTCTGAGGTGAGCGTGCGGGCCGGCGTGGAGGCGTGGCACTTGGTCAGAGTCCACTGACTGGAGTAGCGGTTCCTGATGCTGTGGGCTGACTTCACACTCTTCCTCGACACTGGGTCTGGAGAAAGAAGGTGAATAGGGGCGGACGACGTTCAAAGCCAGGAAAATTAACTAGCATTTGAAAAAAACCAAAGAGGCTAATTTTTGCTTCCACTCTACAAAGTGGGACAAAGCAGCTTCAGTTACTTGAGCTCATACTGAAAAAAGGGACAGCGGGGATCGAGAGCACTTACTGGTTCCTGGTCTGATGTCCGACATGTCAATCAAAGGGCCGGTGTTCTGGATGAGGGCGGGGTGATGGACGGACACACCCGTGCAGAAGCTCTGAGGGTTGCCAGTTTGGTTGAACTCAGTGTCTGTCACAGGGATAGTGGCTTTGTCCTCACCTGTAAGATGCAGAAGCATTATTTCACAAAAGCGGTTATGGATTTACATGGTTTAAAAATAGAAAACGAATAAGTCAAACACCTCCAAATGTTTATTACATATATGCCATAAAGATAATGTGAACGCGCATGCACGGACACATGAACACAACTCTCTCTGTTGCTTTCTCTTCCTCTCTTCTCACCGATTTGCTTGATGCCTTCTTTGTCTTCAATCAGCAGCTGCACTCGGGGGATGTCAATGTGTAACCGGGGGCCCTGAGGAGGTCCCTTCACTGGGGTGTCAAAGCTGCGGTTGTTTTTACTAATGAAGAGATATATGACGAGAGCACACACACAGAACATTTAAGACTCAATCTATTTTCAAAATGTTGATTTTTGAGGAAATATTATATTTCTGACAAGAAATAGTATTCTTACCTGATCAACATCTCTGCCAGGCTTTTGGCATCTAGAGAGAACAGAGAGCATAAACAATGATACATTCTCGACAAACAAATACATCTTTTTGATAAATACAACTGTCGGGAATCTCTCTGCTTTGTCCTTCATGCCAATTCCTTCCAAGCGCTTTCTCTCACCTCTTAGTCTCTTCAGTCTCTTTTCTTTGCGTTTCTTGCGAATGATGAAGAGCAGCGCGACACCTAGCGTGACCAAGATCACAGGACAGCCAATCGAAAACAGCTTCTTGACATCATCGTTCTTTTCCAGGGGAGATTTGATTGGAGGAATCGTGCCTGCACACAGGACGAGCAGACGTTACTCAGTGACGATTTCTCAATAATATTCTACGGTATCCAGTGAAGTTAATTCCTTATTAAAGTAGCAACCCCACTGTTTATACAAATGAATTGCCAAAAAAAGAGAAAGTTGTCTACTCACTGCCATCATAGTCCAGTGTTGCAAATTGGGAGCTCTGGTTGCCGCAGCCAGCGCTGTTACAGGCCTTCATCTTCAACTCGTACCAGGTCGCCTCGCGTAGCTCTGCCAGAAACACGTCTGTGGTGGCATTGGTCCGCACATGCTGCCACGCCCATGTACCTGCGTCAAGTAAACACACCATTTAGTCTGATTTTCTTTCTCTCTTTATTGCTTTCGATTGAAAGTTATGTCAAAAACAAACAAAAAACAGCTTTGTCACATGCACACTCGGACTTTCCGACACTTGAAAAAGCAGTGACCCACCTTCTGGTCTAAACTCGAGAGTAACAGCGCTGATTGGACAGCCTCCGCTGGCCCAACCCTGCAGGTTGAGGCGGGCGTGGCTGGAATTAATATGGGTGAAGACTGGCTGGTCCTTGTTGAACTGGGGTTCTGAAGCAAAAGCATGATGCATTTGTCCAATCAGATTACAATTATACAATATAACAAGTCATTATGGGAAGTAGTAAAACACAGCCGGCTTGGTAATACGGTGAGCTATATTAGGATAGATAACACTAGATTAATAAATGACACTGATTTTATCACAATAGAGCACACGGTCCAAGAGTAATAAAGTGACCCATTGCTCAGGGTTCTAAATTATAAATATGTTTGGATCAAGCTTTGTTGTTAACTGCAACACAGAGCCTCTAACATGTGTCCAGTTTTTAGCTCCAGTCCGTAATGTTCTGCTATTCTTCGAGCATGCTCTTGCTCTTCTCACCTCGCCCGTGCGTCTTTGCCTCAATGATCTCGCTGATGCGTCCGGCCCCAACACTGTTCTTTGCAGCCAGCTTTACTTTGTACCAGGTGCCGCAGCGCAGGTTGTCCAATTTGAAGGAGCGTTCACTAGAACTGATGAAAACATCTTTCCACTCCTCTGTGTTGTCAACAGAGTACTGCAGCACAAAACCTGCAAACACACAATAATTATTATTCACTTGGTTTAATACATAATTCAATTTTTCTGAACTTTTGAGATAATAAACTCATATTGCACAAACTCAACATAAAACTGTGCCTCGGGCCGTCCACTAGGTGGCACTGTCACACTGATATGCTCCTGCACAGAAGGGCACCGATTGGAGGACAGTTTAGCTGCGGTCTGTCTACGAAGCCATTAGTTACCCACAAACCCCAAGACTGGGACGGCGCTGACTGAGCATCTATGTAAATGAGCCAATGTAATGTGGTGACTGTTTTTATAATCAGCTGCCTGGAGAGCCAACTCCCTGCTACTGCGATTCACTATATCCCTCCGTGTCCATCTTTCCTTCTGTGTGTATATAGAGATGTATGCATAAAGTCTATAAATGTGTTTCCTTTCAGTCTTTGTGCCATTTCTTTCTCTATCAGATGGTGTGATTGAGTCAAAAACATTATATGTGCAGATCCTGCAGTTTTATCAGTTTTATATTCAACAAGATTGCGAGAGAACAGCACAATAACTAACTAAGACTGTTCTCTGCAGGATTATTAGCAAACGCTATTTGTGTGTATCTGTTTCTTCAATTATTTTTCATACCAGCTGCAAGAAAAGCTGCATAAGCAGCTATATTTTAAACATGTCTTATATATAAAGAAATACTTTTCAGAGCACTGCAGTAGTAAAATAGCTGCTTAATAGGTACTGCTGATGTTTTTCAGATGGCTTCACAGAGAGAACGGCATTCTGATCTTCAGACAATATATATATATATATATATATATATATATATATATATATATATATATGCTTCATTAATGTATGATACACTGGATGATGTCTGCAAATACAGCTTGATGGGCCATCATTATTTGACCATAAATTGATTGTGATTGTAAGGGTTTTCAGTTTTCAGGGCCGTATGCTAACCCACATGAATAACACAAAAACCTTTAATATATATTTAAACTGACGATTTAAACGGATACACAGAGACTTGTTTTGGAATATGACATAATTCAGTTTTTTTTCCTAGTTTTTAAATACTTTTTTTTGGCATGGCATGTGGTACAGCAAGTCTTTCTGTGTGAAATCATGTCTAAATCCACTTTAGACTTCATTGTTTCATATAGGTATAAAGAGAAAGCGTCTGACAGATCAGACTGGAACACTTTGTACTGACAAATAGCAAAAACAAAGGAATTAAAACCGCCTGCATGCTCGGCCATTCAGGCACACGCAACATCTCAGATATCATGTAATCAAATAATCAAACGGATACATAGTACACAGGGAAATATATAACCGGAAGGCCAATCTATAAACTAAAAGATCAGTATGCATAAGAGCAAGAAAAGACTGAGAGGCGGTAAACTGAGACCTGAGGTCCAAAGTAAATCTTTTTCCCCAATCACATTTTTTGTATAATCCCAACTCAACGACCCAAAGCCAAACTTTGTGTGCCTTTGGACACATTGGCCACAGACAAGAAGTGAGTATAAATAACGACCGCTTTGTGCAGGGCCACGTACCCCTGATGGAGCTGCCTCCGTTGTCTCCTGGTATCCAGGCCAGCGTGATGGAGGAGGTGGAGGTGGTGGAAACGGTCAGACGAGGCTGGTCTGGGGGGACTGACACGGACACACAAAGAGTTAACGCCACAAAAACAACTTGTACTAGAATGGATCATAGGCCCCGGTCTCTCATTTTGAAGTAACATGATTGAAAATGCTGATTTTCGATTGGAATCATATTTAAAGGCCAGAGGTGACTTTGTAGTTTGTGACTTTATAGGTGTTCTGGGTGGACACATCTAACATCCATAGTTCCTTTCTTGGCTTCTTAACATAGGTATTTCCACTGGCTCAGATCATGGGAAACCACAAAATGACTTCACATAATATTGTCAGGGGACTATGGTGCCATGTAATAACTGCAAATTAATGTTTTAAACAACAACAATCGGATGTGCATAATTTCCCTCAATTAAAATTAGAGGAAACTATGGGAACAGTTTAAAAGTGAGCTCTTAACTTTAGTCGGCAATGTTTAAACCCCCAAACCAAGGAACCAGAAATCTCAGTGTAGTCATGGAGTCAGACCTGAGTTTCAATAGCTACATTAAGACGGATAGAAAGTCAGCCTAGTACCACTAAGATTATATCTAGTATTAAAGAACTCATTTCTCAGCGGTACTTGGAACAACCGGTCCGTGCATTTATGTTCAGCAGACCAGTGCTAACGGTGTCTTCACGGGTCTCCCTCACAAATCAACGAGACAGCCGCAGCTGATTCAGTCCATTACTTCTCGAGTCCTCACTAAGATCAGGAAAGTGAATCACATCACTCCAGCTCAGAGGCCTTTACATTAGTTTCCTGTCTGTGGAATCATTGATTTAAAATTCCTAAAACACTCAATTGTTTAGTCCCAAAATACAGCACACATCTGGTGTCATGTGGGACAAGTGTGCTTTCTGTCCCAAGAGTCAATCAGTGTTTGGGATGCTGTATGCATAAACTTTCCTACTAAATAATTATTATTATTATTTCTGTATGAGCTTTTAAGGTGGTTAAATATACATTACAGTTATTCATTTTCAGCGAGGACACCGGGAATATAAGTAAACTGCAACCAAAGTTAAATATACCAAGTCTAAAAAGGTAATAATGCCATTATTGAATTCTTCGTACCTTGTACCAATAAGTTGACGATGATGGTGTCAAACCCCAGCGTGTTGGTTGCGGTGCAGGTGTAGTAACCAGAATCTTCAGCTTTTACAGAGCGCTGCACCAGCGTCCCATTGGCCAGAATGAGACGTTGTCCATCAAGAGACACTGGGATGGCTGTGTCCTCACTAACACAGAGAGAAGGAAAGATCCCCGGGAGGACGTTACCTACGATTCTTTCTACATTGTGATAAAAGTTTATTCATTTGTTCCTACGTGATCGGAGTTTGTGTCAACGTCAAAGTACATAAATACTAATTCACTCTTAGATACATCACAGCAGCGACATGAAGTCAGTCCACATCTCCGGGAAGGATTCTACCTGTCTTTGGTCCATTTAATAGTGGGTGTAGGTTCTCCCACTGAGCTACAGGGCAGTCGCACCTCCTTCATCCAGGGAGTGGTCACTGTGCCCCCGAAGGACAGGATCTTAGCTGGGGCTGGTGGAGGATGGAGAACGGAATGTAACAAAGGACATTTGTATGGAGGCAGACCGATTAAATAATTACCATTAGAGCTGTTCTTTGTACAAAAGAATAGGCAAATGCCTAATTAATACATACCGATCGGTTAATCTTGCCATGTCAAGTAAACCATTTTCAAATGCCATAAATAAATGTAGTGGAGGTTCAAGAATGTGCTGAATCAATACAGGAATGTAATGGATATGCAATTGATTTGTTTTCAATAAACAGGATTCCCTAGCGGAGTGTGTAATGTGTTTTCCATGATTCCCAAGTGGTGTAATAGAAATCTGTGTGAAATGGGACACTGTCCAGCAGAGAACAGAATACGCGAATATCAGAAAGGAAAAATAAAAACCAGGTTAAAAAAAAAGAAATCTATTCAGGCACGTGACCCTTCTTTTCTGTGTCGATCCCCCCGCCCGCTCCCTCCTTCTCCCTTTCTTTCCCAAGCTTGCCGTCTTAATGCAAGTGCTGTAGTGCACTTATGTTAAGGTTGAATGAAGTATTGAGTGGGCAAGCCTGAAGCACATTGCCTTTTACAGCTGCCGATCAGCTGACGCACCCACCCATAGAGTGCACACGCGCACACACGCACACACACACACACACACACACACACACACACACACACATAAATACAGCACACTCGCGGACCTTTGCACCCCAGCAGTCAAAGGAACGAATGGAAACAACAGGAAAGGATAATATGGTGGGAAGTGCACTCTATTCATTCTCACTCACGTATTATTCTTGTCTTCTAATCCAAATCCTATTGATTAACTGCCCTCTTGATTTTCTTAAACACTATGGCTTTTTTAAATCTTGTGTATTAGTTGGCTCTGTTCCTGTGGTTTTCTTTCCACTTTTTTCTCAACCTGCTGTTTTCTCTTTATTGCTTCCCCTCTTAACAAAACCACATACACAAAAACAGGACGTGTGGTTGAAACAGTCACACAGAACAAGAGCCAAAGTAAGAGAGGGATTATTTTCAGTTGATGACATTGTGAATAAAAGGCTCGAGAAGGAGGACTAAGTATCAGAGAAGGAAATGGTTGGAAAAGACATAGGAAGAGACAAGAGACCGTGCGGAAAAGCAAAGACAAACATCCAACAACCACTGATACAGTGAAGGTAGAAAGCCTTGGTTGAAAAATTAAAGTCGTACTACAGTTAACTACATAAATATTTTTCACTTCCATTTAAATTAAGCAGTGGGTAAATACACAATGAAATAGAGCCAATTAAAAGAGTACTTCATTCATCTATTCTTGCACTTCTAGTCTTCAGAACCGATCGATGCTGACTCTGGTGACATCACTTTCAGCAATTGATCAGCTTTCACACAGCTCTCTCTGGAGGCAAAAAAGCGTCGTATACAACTCCAAATACTTGGAAATAGACATTCATGGGTTCAATATGACCCTGTTTCCCTACTGTTGAAACAACGGCTATATATATACTCAGCGTCCAAGCACTCTAGTGTTTGTCTCTCATAATTCCTCTGCACGTGGAGGGACCCACCCTTGGCTGCTGGCTCCACAGTGACCTTGTCACTAAAGTTGCCCCGGCCTGCAGTGGTGACCGCTGCAGCCCAGATCAGGTACTGCTGCCTGTGGTTGAGGTGAGTGATTCTGTAGAAAAGCAGCTCTGGGTTGACTTCGTACTCACTGGGCAGCTGGGGAGAAGCAGAAGGAGAGGTTAAGTTTGGAAGAACTGCAGCGGCAACACCGTGTTTTGCACAGAGTTCAGCAAACTCCAGCATGTGCCGCAATATTTCATAAACCTTAAACATCATAGGGCTTTCAAATTACCCTTTGTCCTCTTCCCCTTTAAAGGCTTTGTACAAACAAGCAAGTGCATCAACAACCACAAAATAAAGTATAGCCTTAAGAAATATTTTCAAAGCGTACAAAATTTGAGGATCAGAATCACAAAAACAGATAAAAAATAGAGCAGGCTGCTACACATTTTTCACAATTCCATAAGAATGATTCAAATACAAATAAAATATATTTTTAGTTTCTCTCTGTCATATGACAACACCTGTGTTCTATCAAACGTGTTAAGGGAAGCCAGAGACAAGATTATTTTGTCACTTTCCTGCATAATGTGAAGGACTGAGTGCACATCATTCTAATGTAAACAAATCTTATCGTATTCTCTACCCGAGTCAGTGCCACAGGACAAGAGAGGAGGATGGGGCACGTTATATTATGATAAAGCAAAAAGAGCTGGAGGGAGTGAGGATGGGAACTGGAAGAGGCGGGAGGGGTAGAGTGATGTGGGAAGAGCCCTCTCCCTCTCCTTTGCTGTTCTCCTCGCGGAGGGGAAACAAAGATATGAGACAGAGGAGAACAATGGGGGGACAGACCAACGAGTCAGTCAGAGATATCACGAACATGCACTAATGAGGTCTATCTACTACGGGCATCAGTAATGGCCGAGGCGAGAGGCGAGGAGTCCAATAAACAAGCAGAGAAAGGAATGGACGCGAACAGGCGAGCACAAATACAAATACACACTGACGCACACATACAGTGGCATGACCCGGAGGTGGATCTGTAATTGCAGCGTGTTTAACCCAGCCATGTGTGTGCTGTCTAGACATGTACGCATCACAGTGCCTTTAACACATGCACACACAAACACACTGGAACTGTCTTATTTCACTGTCTGCCAGTCACTCATCATCTACCCACCAACACTTGTTCCCTCAAATCCTGCTCTTCTCCTGCTCCCCGGGCGTCCCTGCGCTCAGATTCCTCGCACGGACCCTCGGCCGCTCCGTGTGTTACCGTGCTGCCGGCCTCTGCTACGAATGTAATGCCAGCCAACGCACAGACACGAAATGAACGCACGCGCCGCGAGGTGATACGTAGCCGTCACTGCCTTCTGAATCACATGTTTCGCCACCGTTTGATGCCGGCTCGTGCGCAGGCGAAATGAAGAATGCAATAGCCGTCAGTAGAGGCAGAGGCCTGTAAAACCTGCAAAGACACTGCAGAGCTCTGTCCCAGCCTGCTGAGTAGTTGTCTGCAGAATGGTATATTCTGGGTAAACAGATTGCAGTATTCATGTTGTTTTTCATATCTATGAGCAGGCCGTCATGCTAAAATGCATTGAGCTTTTTATTACTTCACTGTGTTTCCTGTTCATCATACTTTTCTCATGTATATTTACCTATCCTCTCACCCCACTGCGCCATCCTTCCCTTCGCCATCATTCTTCATCTCTCTCTCTCTTTATTTTCCTGCCTGTCTCCCCATTTCCTCGTCATCCGTGGACCCAATCCTAGCTTCTCCCTTCCATCTTTCCACCATTACCCCCCTCTGTTTTACATCCTCTCTGCATTTCTCTTCCTGACTCTTACGTATATCAACGTCTTCTTCTTATTCTCTCTCTACATTTGTCTCTGTAGTCTGCACTGCAGGAAGTAGTGCGGATGGAGGGTGGGGTGGATGAATCGGGGGGTGGATGGGTGGATGGATGGATGGATGAATGGGTGTGTAGGTGATTAGATGTTGGGAAGAAGGGCGGGGGGGGAATGACAGAGTATGTGTTGCTGTAACGGATATTAAAATATTCCTCCGGCGTGGAGATAGCGGTGATCCGGGGAACGATAGAGAGAGATAATGAAAAGAAGAACAAAAGTACTCCCCGCTCTGTGTGTCTGACCCCCCTATCCCTCCTTCCTGCTCTCCAGTCGCACTCATTTACATAGTAATCATTGCGAACTCTGCATGGGGGCTTTAGAGAGAGAAAGCAAAAAGAGATGGATCGAAAGAAAGATGGGTTGCCACAGAGAGAGACAAAGATGGATGGACAGAAGGATTTTCTGAATGACACAGACTGAGGAGTGAAAGCATGCGTTTTCTAGATAGGTATGATATGATGCGTTTGTAAAGCAGGATGTCTTGCTTTTGAATTCACACTTCATAAAAACAACAATTACTTATTCATATATACATATATAGATACATATCTATATGTATATAATTCTATATGTATGGTGAGGTCATAACGCTTTGAGTGTGTGTGTGTGTGTGTGTGTGTGTGTGTGTGTGTTTGTGTCTGTACGTAAGTGAGAGTGAGTGTTTCCTGTCGCCTTGTTTTCTGCCCTTGTTGATGAACAGATGAGGTTGTCCTGGCAACGTGATGAGACGCAGATATGTAAATGAGGCTGGAGGGCGAGCTTGCACGCACACACACTGCGGTATTAGGAGAGCTCATTTCACACACATCTCGCTGAGACTGCAGCACTAGACCACACACACAGAGACACACACACACACACACACACACACACACACACACACACACACACACACACACACACATCCGCAAACACATGTATGCAGAACAGCATCCTAATGACATGAATCAAATCTATCTCAGCATCATATAAAAGGTACACAATGTGCATGAATCAAGGGCACTTCTCCCTTTATCCAATGTTCCCCTTTTTTCATTCACTTCTCAGCCGTGAAACTTGCTGCACTGGTAACCTACTGGTTGGCCAGAGCCCGGGCTGGAGCAGTAGATGGTGTATTTGCGGATGATTCCATTTGGCTTGTGTGGAGGTAACCAGGACACCACAACACTGCTGGCAGAGGAGGGCACAGTTTTGATGCCTGCGGGGGGTCCAGGGTCTGAATCATAAAGGGCAGTAAAAAGGGAAATGGAGGGCAGAGAAAAATGTGAAAGTTATATTTATCTGCATGTACAGTAAGCACAATACTACTTTTGAAGGTGTTTAGTCATTTTAGGGGAGAGTTCTTTTTAATTCAATTAAATTAAAATACCAAGGGCACCAAAACAGGCAGAACAATATATATACATATATGTACAGTACATATATTCAATTATATTGAATTATCATAATATATCACAACCATTATTAGGCAATTTATAAGATTTAGTATACAGACAAGGATTGAATTCAAATCAATATTGAGTATTGTTATCTAATCCTTATTAACAATTTTTACTTTCCTTATTTTTACAAAAAATCCTATCTTCGTAAAGGGTAGCCCACATTATGCCAAAAATTGGCAGAATAATCAATGCCTTATATTAATCTAGTTTTCCTCTTTTGTTCTAAACCGGTTGCATCAGCCTTTTTCATCATGTTACCATATTGCTTACCTACCAAATACTTTTTTAATAAACATACAGTACATGGCAGTAGAGTAAATAGTATATGAATAAATATATAATGTTTTGGATAGAATCCAAACTATGTGTTAGAAGTACTGCAGCAAATGATCAATAAGGGATTCAATTCTTTTTTATGTATTCTTTCCTCATTACTACAAGATCAACAAGAAGAGTCAAGCATGTCGTATTGATGATGGTGATTATTTTAACCATCTATAAGGTTAACACATTGTGAGAGAATAAGAACACGCGGTAACCAAGTAGACTCAACATTCTGTAATAAACATAAAACCCATATGTTAAACAACCAAATACCTTGGGGCATGAAAAAAAATAACTTAATCATGAATCTCTGTATTCTTGCTCCTACGCCCACGGTCTTTGCGTCTGAGAGACAGACACAGAGAAAGGTAGGCAGAGAATTGTCTGTTTGCACGAGTCCACTTCAGGCACTCTTCCATTCGCTGCAGAGAGAACTGAGGACAAGGAGCGAGCGACGGAGAGAGACATACAGCGCTGGGCTTATGCCGGGAGGACGCCCACGGACACAGTGTCAACCCGCGTCAGGGCAAAAGAGAAACCCAGCTTGACCCTGATTAGCACACGCACACACACACACACACACACACACACACACACACACACACACACACACACACACACAGTCAAAGACAAACACAACACACACACATTTGAGGAGCTATTGCAGAGAGGCTTATTCATAAAATGGAGATAAAGTGAGGAAGAGAGAATAAAGGCATTTTCTGAGATGGCTCTTCTTAGAATCTCTGCTCTCTCTCTCTCTCTCTCTCTCTCTCCTGCACTCCCTCTCTGCCGTCCTTTTCTCCATCTCCAGACGCCTGCCTCCTCCTCTGCGCGGCCGCAGGGCCCAGGGAGGAGGGGAGAGGCGGATACGGATGTAATCCACAGCCCGCCAGTGTAAGCACAAAATTAATTCTCTCTAAGCCACAAAGAATTAATCCCTCTCCTTGTTCTGGGTGGAAACCTAGACTTACACACAGACAACAGCGCGTCTACACACACCCTGCACCCGCACACCGATGCAAAAACACCGTAAAACACATTGGAATAGACACTTACCCCCCACCAACACCTCCACATATTCACATGCGCAGACCCACACCCTTAGGCTCCTTAACCACACACACTTTTTGGCTTCTTAATTCTCATTAGCACTGGTAATGGCACATCAGAGCACAAAGAGGTTTTAATCAGCAACCTCAGCCTTACAAAGCCGCCCCTCCCGCACCCCCCTCTGCCCCCTCTATGGCTGTCTGCCTCCCACACTGCGGCGTAAACCAAAAAGGAAAATCCCTTAGACCTGCCCCAAAGATGTGGTAAAAGCAAATTACGGATGGGTTCTCATTATTTATCATGACTTGGTTTATCTCTGTGAAAGGATCAAATAAATTGTGGTCTCACAGTCTTCCCGGGTTTGGATGTACAGGACGTTGCTACGGACACCGTCTCCGGCCTGGGTGTACGCCAGAACCTGGATGCTGTAGTTGGTAAACTTCTCCAAGCCTCTGAGCTCCACCTGCTCTTTGATGGTTGTGATGTTTTGCATTTCCCCCCATTCTGAAAAGGGCATAAAGTGGTGCAACGTTCGGAAACAATGGCAGAGCTGTTGCTAATCATGGTGCCACGAGACAGGTAACAGACACACTCAACACACCTCCATCAGGAAAGACGGTCCAGAACACGACACGGTAGCCCTTCAACACGCCATGCAGCGTCATCCTGGGGGGCTCGGCCCATGTGATCACTGCCTCGTCCGACGTCACAGAAATGGCCCGGACGGTCTGAGGCGGCTGGCTGGGCACTGCAGACAAAGAGGGAGGAGGAAGAACACGTTGAGACGGTTAATCTGAACAGTGCATCTTCAGTTTGTGTGTAACATTATGTTACTCAGGGTTTGACTAAAAAAGGGTCTGGTGAGCAGCGACGATCGCACTGCAGACAGAGCTAAATAAATATAGGAAAGAAATAGCAAATAGTACAATTTTACTTTATTAAATAGTTGTAATCAAAACAGCAACAACATCACACATGTATTTTCATATCCGTTCTTCATTGGAGATTTATCTTCTGTAATGTTTTGTTGATCATTTGCACAGTTTATATTTGTTTTATTAAACTTTAACACCTCCTTTAAGGTATCCCCTAAAATATCCTACATTTAAGGTTGTAAAGGTTGTCATTATCTTTGCAAAATTAGGACTGCATCGTTGAAAAACAGATGACTAAAAATACTCTCTGAATCACCAAATTTCCATATCAAACCTGAGAATAGGAAACAGGTGAAGGATACCACGCTCACAACATGCTACCAGGCTGATATATAGGACCATCTCCACAACCACCATCTCCCCATCTCCGCACAAGCCTCCTTCTGTCCCCAAAAGTCCAGGTGTCTCTTCTATTGGCTGCCCGCTGAACATTAGTCTTTCAGGCTTTGAATAACGTACACTGTTGAAGATGAACAGTAGTCAACTTGTGAGAGAAGGAGGGGCAGGAAGAGAGGAAGAGAGCCCGAGTGAAAGACAGAGAGCAATGAAAGACAGAGATCGGGCCAAGTCCACCAGGGAATATCTCTGCAGCTGCTGAAGACAGAGTTGGTGGGGAGCAGGGCAGAGGAAGGGAGCGAAAAGAGACAAGAGGATTAGACAAATGAAGCATGAATAAAACCTTGAGGCTAAAAAATTAGAAGGCACCACGTACCACCTGAGAAAAAGTATAACGATATAGAATATACGAACACAAAATGTCAGCTGCATCCAAGTGCTTCCAAACGGTCGGCATTAGAGCTAAACAGATAAAGGAAGGAAGATACATAAGGGATTAAGAGATAAGTACTACAAATTATGGCAAGGGCTGTTGATGAATTACATTTAGCCAAAAAACGATGGCGAACTCAAAAACAGAAATAATGAAGAGTAGTTTTGGATTGGGGCCACTGGGAGGAGGAGATGGGGGTGAGGGCAGATAGAAGGGAGGAAGACGGCTAAAAGCAAGGGGGACCAGAGAGGGGCAGAAAAAGATGAAAAGCCTGAGCAGAGAGACAATATCCTCAGCTGTGGATAATTACAGCAGGAAGCAGTGGAGGGAACGAGAGAGAGAGAGAGAGAGAGAGAGAGGAGGAATAGACAAGCTAATTATAATTATTTTTAGTATGCTTGTTGTTATCACTATTATCATAATGGCCATCAATATCACTGTCGCCACGGTGACAGCCATAGGGAAGAACTGGAGGACTCTGTCTTGTCTGGACCAATGGGGTTCAGCCAACTGTTCACAGTGTGTGTGTGTGTGTGTGTGTGTGTGTGTGTGTGTGTGTGTGTGTGTGTGTGTGTGTGTGTGTTTGTTTGTATGGGGAGATAAAACAAACATATGATAGAGATGGAGAGATGCGACGTGTAAAAATTCTGTTTCGCGTACAGCATACAGATTGGTTGAATTAACTGCAACGCTAAATTATAAAGAGGACAAGAAGAAGCTTCTTGAGATGACACGTTATAAATGACGATTGTTTTCTTGTATTCAAAGTCAGGACAAAGTCAAATAATGCAAACAAAAATATTGCTTTACAAGGAATGAGTCAATGGTTAAACGAAAAGCCCAAGTGATCCATGCTCCTTCTCCATAATACCAGCCTGTTAATAGATCTCACAAAAGACTACCTCGGCAGTGAGACAGCAAAGAGAGCAATGGCAACAAAGAAAGTGCAGTAACTACTAAACAAACAGAAGGATATATTTCATCCGTCTGACTTCCGTGTATTTAATGCACCATACTGCTCATCCTTTTCCTCTTAATGCGGCTGATCACTAACCCTTAGTTACACTCATAGACGGACTATGAGGCAATTTGTCCCCCTTCCTACATGCGTGAGTTATTTTGTGTGTGTGCTGTTCATTGGGATTCTCACCATCTTCCAGTGTCGTTGCATTGATCTCTGAGCTAGAGGGTCCTGTGCCAGCTCTGTTGAAGGCCTGGACCACCACACCATACTGGGCAAACTTCTTCAGGTTGTCCAGTGTGTAGACCTCACTGTCCCCAGTGGCCTTCATCTCCACAATGCTGTACTGGCCGTTACTGCCCGGCCCATTCTCTCTGTAACCGATCTGGTAACCGCGGATCACCCCATTCTGCAGCTCCTTCCTCGGAGCCTTCAGAGTAGAAAACAGAACTATAGTATCGACATTATCTGTTCCTTTTCATATAGGGCGTGATTATTTAGCCAACTCCACACAAGACTTTCACTGAAAAGGAATCGTGTCTTTTTAAGGAGCTGTATCTTGACTCAAATATACAATCTTTGAAGAAGTATGCAGTTTTTAGAAAGCAGCAATCGTTCTACTTTACCTTCCAGGTGACCCTGATACTCTGAGAGGTTACCGGCTGCAGGATCACCTCCATAGGAGGACCGTCCGGCTCTGCATGATGACAGAAAGAGAGAGAGACAGAGGGAGGGGGGATTGAGGCAAAGATTCTACGGCTTTCATGCTTTAAGTAAATCTCATGACTTGACTATTGTAATCTTCAACTTTCAAAGTGTTTTTCTCAGTTTTATTGCGACGGAATTTTAATGGAAACATATTCAAGGACATGCCGACGCATGTCCTTGAATATGTTTCCATTAGTGACTAGGAGCTATTACGGCAATCAAACGTGAGATTTTTGCCGAAATGAGTGTGATGCTGTCAAGATACTTACGTGCTTCCTCTGTGCTAATGGTGAGTTCTTTACTGGCCTCGCTTTTTCCTATCGCATTGTAGGAGTACATGCGAATGCTGTAGACAGAGGCGGGGTGCAGGTCCACTATGTTCGCCTGATTGTTGGTGGGGGAGATGTTTCGAGTGGCATGCTTCAGCTCCCAGGAATCTGAGAAAGGATAAATGAATGTTGACTTATACAGTTTGCCATCATTTTCTCACTTTACCCATTCATGGCATACATTTGAGAATGTAGAGAACTCCAAATGCATTTGTCTCAAGAGCCTCTAAGTATGAGGCGTGAGTTTACTGGAGTTAGGCATGATATGACAATTTCGCAGGGAAATATGCTTGTGCATGTAGCATGTAATCTGTTAGTGTCTTATGTTTTCTGCATAATGTTCCTGCAGTGCAGTTTATATTTTGAAGTTGACTGTCAATATCAATACATTTAGTAGTATTTAAAAATAAGAAAATAAATTCCACTGTCTAACTTTATTTTTAGTTAAATGAAGAAAACACACTTTAATTTACCTGTTTTGTTCTTATACTCAATATCATAAGAGGTAATGACGCTGTTTCCATCGAATCTCTGTGTCCACCGAAGATTCATACTGCGGTCTTTCACTTCACGCACCTCCAGCTCTGGAGGGTCTGGGGGCTCTGAGGATTTAAAGGAGAAGGCGTGAGAAAAAGGAGGCAGGAAGGAGAGCCCCAGAAGACAGAACATTTCAGTGTGAAAGAGGGACAAGAAGGTTTGTGTAGCTTGTATCAATATTAAGAGGAGACGGTGCGTGCATCTGACATGAGTCGTTACAGTACCTTGCACAGTGAGCTGGATAAGGCCACGTCCTTCTCCATAAGAGTTAATGGCATGACAGGAGAAGAAAACCGAATCCTCACGCTCTGCTGGCTTTAGCTGTAGGGAGAAATGTGGAAAGATAAATGTCAAAGAGACCACTAACCTATCTTTGTGTGTAAATAACACCTCTATGATAAAGAAGCCCCGTGAGAGTTTCTCCTCTCCAATGCAATACGTCACAAACCCTGCCAAAGCGTGTTTTGCTTGTTTTTACTGTTAATTTAAATACACACTATAAATCCAGAATTGTTTTAACTCTACAGATGCCTTCATATTATTAACTTCCTACGCAGTCATTTGAATGCGATGGGTACATATTTGTCACTGCGATTTGAGTTGGGCATATTTTCAAACCACAGTAACAGACCCAAATGACTACCACCAACCTTTCACAAACCTCTAACACACAACAAGAATACCGGTATGATAGTGGACTCTTATGTCACTGTCATTTGACAAACAACAACAACAACGGTGAGATTACAGGGAAGTAGACTATGCTTTGCACTTCATTGACTCAAGTGGACAAATGACAATACATTACGGACAGTTATCTATCCGTCAATTGATAAGAGCATGCCAGACATTGCTGTCTGATTTCTTCAAATTCGATGCTACACCTATGAACTTTTTTACCTTGAGTGTAGACAACACTTCGTCCGTCTTCTCGTTGGGACTGGTGGTGATAGAGTATCGGGGGTTGCGATCAGGGTCAATGACCGTGTCGCCTCTCTCCCAGCGGATGATGATGGGCCATTCTCCCCTGGCTGTGCAGTTCAGCTCCTTTAAGTGACCCTTCTTAGCCATGGTGGTGTTGGGGTGACTGGTGATCATAGCTGGGACTGGAAAAGGAAGGGAAATGGAGGGTGAGAAAGAGACAAAGATTTAAAATAAAAACCTGAAATACTGACGTTAAACATATGATGGGACACCTCTGGGAAACAGGTAAGTGTGCAAGTAAGAGTAGAAGTAATCGGATTTAAATAAGGGTGTAAGTGGTAAGAGAGAAAGAAGAGAAAGTACAAAGAGCATAAGACGCAGGGCCAGCCAGCAGTTACAAAGGTGGAGTTCACCATTGGAGTAGAGTAATGAAGAGCTATGGCCGATGAGGGAAAGTCAATAAACCTCCTCTTTCGTTCTCCAATAGTTACACCGGGGTCTATGCCAATGAACAGGCAAGAAGAACATGCACCCCCACCTTTCGCCTATCCCCCGTGCACGATCTTCCCCGGCCAACACACAACCCTCATTTGCACGCACACGCACAATACCGATCGGAGGAGGGTTGTGCAGTTTTGTTTTCATCACTTATTAATCTCGACCTCCCCCCTTTCCTCCTTCTCCGCTGAGCGAAACAGACAGAATTGAGGGAGGCAGAGGAGAGGAAAGGTTCAATCAATAACACTAACACCAGCAGGAGAGAGGTGGTGGGGGCATTCTTGCGATGGCAGAGCATGCTATAATAGTGTTGTATTTGTGTGTGAGTGTCAGAAGATGTCATGTATTATGCATTAACTTCTCTTTTGTCGGCAGAGCTGATTTGTAAAGTCATGGTTTCGCATCCTACAAAATACACTCTCCTAATACGCTCAACCTGATGGTGTTTGTGCATGTTCCCCTGCATGTTCCCATTCCATCACTGAGGATGGTACTGACAGCAAGGGCAGGATGAGAGAGATTGATTGCAGATAATGATTAAGCTCAAAGTGTTTTTGATTGTCTGTAGACAGATCCCAAGAGTCGAAAGATCAATCACGCAGTTGCTCGCCTACTCTCTGCCCAAACGCACACAGACGCACACACACAGCCTCCATTCTCTCGGCGTTCTTCATTGTTGTGCTCTCATGTCCGTGGTCACCTTTGTGTCACCGATTCATTAGTGTGCATGTGTGTATGTCGGTGCTCACAGAGCACAAGGAGAGGCTGACAACGCTGCCATGGAACCCTGGTCCTGGGCTACAGTAGCTTGTCGGAGTTTGTATACTCACTCTTGACGGTGAGGACCATGCTCTTGCTGATGTCTGAGCCAACGCCGTTGGAGGCCTGGCAGAGGTAAAATCCACGATCTTCTTCCAAAACATGCCTGATGAGCAGAGAGCCGTTGCTCATGATCTGGATGCGGCCCGTCAGAGGCACAGGGTGGTACTGCTGTGGATTCCCAATACCCGCTGGATGAAAAAAAAAAGAGAACTAACTTAGGATCTCAACATTTTAATACAACGCACCTATGAGTAACACAATAGGACGAGGAAGGTCAATCTCAGCAAATACTGTAGATGAATAATGAGGCAGAGGTCATGTACCTAGTGCACTTTTGGCATGCTTCCACATGACTTTAGGAGGAGGGTATCCGTCGACTGAACAGTTTAGGATGCCAGCCTTCCCATAGATCCCGTCCTGATTATTGGGCTGAACCACAAACCTTGGAGGCACTGGGAAAGGATGGAAGAAGTAAATCCAAAGACAAAAACTGTGAAAAACATCATCAACAATACTGATAAAAAAGTAAATTGAAACCTTCCATCTGCTTTGTTCATCATTATTTCATCATTAAATTGAATAAATGAAGAATCCGGTTAAAAGGTCATTCCACTGATTTTGGAATAAAATTACCGACCCTTTGGAGATTTTAATTATAACGAGGTGTCAACAGCTGTTAAATAAATGTGGTGGAGCAAAAGGTGGTGGCGTTGAAGGAAAAAGTACCAGAGCCATCCATAGGCAGAGGAAGTGTAGAGGATTACAAGACTCACCACTTGACAGTACTGCTAACTAAAAGTACCTCAAAACTCCAATTAGTTAGTAAATGTTCATTTCCATCCGCTTTTATATTACTATATCAGTACTGGCCAAAGGGAGTACTTCAGAAAGAGAATAAACTGTGGTTTCATAGAACGTCTGCCATGGAGGTCATGAGAATTGAAAGATGGGGTCCTCTACTCAAAAGATGGCATAATGAGAGATGCTACTGAGCTGCATTGCGGGAATGTTAAGTATCTGGTGTAACACATAACAAGGACTTGGAGTGAAGATTCAGAAGCTTTTGCTGCTACAATTCTGAGTACTTTTTGAGATCTACAAAGTCGTCAAACTGCAGTACTAAATTCCTGTAATTCCCAATTATTTTTTTAAAAACAACCCTTTTCCCCTCAAGCCCTTTCTTAATGTCACCCTCATGTTAAGGATGTCCTCTCGCTCGTTCCTCTCCCACCTGTGACCGTGAGCTGCCTCTCCGTGCTGACGGTGGCGGCGGCGTTGCTGGCGATGCAGGTGTAGTTGCCGTTGTGTTTGAGCGACACCTTGGATATCTGGAGAGAGCTCATGAACTCCTTTGTGTCGATGGTGATGCCAGAAGAGGGCACGATCTCCTGCCCGTCCTTGCGCCACGCGATGCGTATGGGCATGTCCCCGGACGACACCACGCAGGCGATGTACATCAGTTTGCCAATGGAAGTCGGCGGGAAGTCAAACGGCTGGATCAGTGGAGGAACTGAGGGAGGCAGAGAGGGGACGGAAGGAGAGGGATGGGTGCGAGGTGTGTGTAGAGGAAAAGTGAGTGAAATGATTCGATGGAACGGGCAGATCGAGTGAGGAAATACAGGATGAAAGGGAGAGTGGTGGAGAGAAAGAGGCAACCACAGGCAAAAGGGTGAAATAAATTATATATAGAGAGAGAAGACAGAATCAGGCAAATTGGGATTGAAAATAAAGAAGACAAGACAGTTGGAGGGTTGTTTGAATAAGCCGGGTGATTAAGAGGTGAGGACAGAGATTTGAGGCAAATATGAATAAATGAGGGAAAAGGAAAGATAGAAAGTCAGACCAAGAGAATAGTAGACACACATTTGAAGATTTGGGGGCATCGAAAGGACATACGGAGGGGAGGAGAGCGATGCGAAGGGAAAAGGGGTGGAGGGAGAAAGATACAAAAGAAAAAGGCATTAAAACGGGTGAGATTTCTTTTAGAATCAGAATAATTTTACAATTGACAGGCTAATTGTAAAACTAGTGGTCTATCTTTCTGTCCGATTACTTGAATCTCTCAGCTGAGCTTCCAAAACACCACAACCTATCCGACAAGCTCACCACCCACTCGTACCCCCCACCCGAATCCTTCCACTCCATCCAACCCTGCCCTGCTAACGCCACCCATAATAGCTGCTTCTAATTAGAGTCTCTTTCCGCAGGGGGAAGAGCAGTGTTGCTATGAGAGCGCGAGTGATGCAGAGTTTGGAGTGGAGGAGGAAGGGAGGGTGGTGTTATGGTTGGGAGGTGGTGGTGGTGGTGGTGGCGGTGGGGGGCTACAGCTGAGACATCTGGGGGATTTAATCTGGGCCTCGTTAAAATTCCTCTAATTAAATCAGAGACATGACGAGCACACATTCATACAAGCACATATCCCCACTTGCATGCAGCCGATGCACATATACAGCACACGTCGCACACGTCGAAAAAAACTCACAACTTGCTAAAGCCAACATGCCATGCTATGCGGAAAGCTGAACAAAATATCATATGGGATGTGCAAAATGTGTGTAGGACACAAACACACTCACAATTCACACACATGTATGCATGAGTATGGCATGTGCACATAAGGAAATCATACTCTATGTAATTGCGGAGTGGTTGAAGGAGCGCACTCGGCCACTGCGCCCCTTAAGCAGGGGTTATTACGAGCAATGCGTACAGCTTTTTTCTTTCCTCTCTGTCTGTTTCACTCACACCCTCCTGCTTCCAAACCAGTGTTACTCAATCTCTATCCCTCATATAAACGCCCTCTTTTACTTAAAAAACTAAAAAAAGCTAGATGCATATTACAATTCTTTCATCATTTTACTTACAGATTATGATCTTCAAAGGGCAAACCTTTAATTCACTCCACACAGCAAACAAGCCCATGCAAACCGATGTTCTGTGCATGCTTTTAGACATATCTGGTTGACTGTCCTAGCCCAGTAAAACAAAGTGATCAACCGACCTTTGACGGTAATATAGACGGTCTGCGTGATAAAGAGCTGGGGTTGGATGAGCACGCTGCAGACATAGGCCCCCTCGTCCATCCCCTTCTGAACGTCACTCAGCTTCAGAGTTCCATTTTCATAGACCACCTGAACAGACACCAGCAGTGTTACACATCATTCATGTCAGGAGAGCTGTGGATTTAAATGGGAAGATGCCAGATGATCAGTTAAAAATATAAACTTAGTGACCTTTGAATAACACTCTATTCAAGAATATGATTAATGTAATCAATACTGTATTGCAATGTCGCATAGTGCTTCATAGAAAATGAGTCCTGTTTTGCAGAAAGAAAAATGTACCTGGCGGTGATTGTCAGGCAGCAGAAGCCCCTCCTTGTACCAGTTTATCGAATAATAAGGGTACCCAATCACACGGCAGTTTATGAAAGAGTTTCTTCCCGCCACTGCAGTGATGTTTTTCATGGGCCGGATCCTCGGAGGACCTGTTGGGATTAGAGCAAGAGAGAGGACGAGAAAGAGATGGGCAGAAGGAGCGATATGGAGAGAAAGAAAATGTAAATGGGTCGACCAGAGGAAGAAAAGAGAGGGTAAAATGATGAGATTATTAGTTGATGCTGTCAGAGGCAGGTTGTGGAATTTTAGAAATAAAGGGGAGGGTTGACGGGGGGGGGTTGGCAGTAGGGAGGAGACAGAAGAGGAAGAAAAGCATGTGTAGGGTGTAGGAAAAGAGAGAAGAGTCTAGAGTCTAATCCTAATCGTAGAAAGCAGCCTGCATTCTCCTCCCCACAAATTCTGTTTGCAGTTAAAAATCTGTCACTTCCATCCCAGATTTTAAAGACAACAACAAACAACAACACAGCTACTCAGCTATTTTTAAAAGACTACTATAAGCCCTTAAAGGTTAGGTGCCCGTTTGTGTTGGGTGTTGCACCCCTCCAATGCAGTACTCATTGGCCTTAACGTCCTAATCGGGCATTGTTTACGTGCGCGTGTGCACCGAGCAGTTTGTGATCACTGTGGGCAACGGTCAAAGTGTGGTTGCACAGTTAGACGAATGTAATATTTTCTGTGTTATAACAAAAAAACGTGTGCTCTGTCAACATTTGTGCCGCGAACTCTAAGAATGTCCTGTTGTCTTGTTGTCTATTGTTACACTGTCACGCACCAACCGCGCCGACAAATTCCGTGTATGTTTGACATATTTTGGCAATAAATGTTTCCTGATTCCTGAATATATAACAAAAATAAAGCTAGACGGCTATTGGTCATGTATCATTGCCACGAGCAAGAGTGAAGGATGTGACCCGACAGTGAGTCAGACTAACAAATAAATGTGTTGAGCATCACAGGAGGACAAAGGGAGCCGTCACTCAATCATCCGTCGACAATCCTTCGACCTTTTCACCAGTGTTCCTCTTGTATTTGGGTTTTTGTGTCTCCTTCGAGCCCTCCTACCCACTTGCTTCTCTCTCTTCCTTTTCTAAGCGTGTCCCCAGCTTTGAAGTCACAGCTCTGACGAGTGAAAGATGTATTATTCAGTAGCACCGTCGCACACACACACACACACAAACAACAGTAGAACACGTGTGTGTGTGTGTTCAACCAGAGTCGGTGCGGCTTAGTATCTTTGCTCTTCCCCTCTCACTGAAGGAGATAAGTTAAGTGTATCACATTTCAGTGAGTGGGCCAGCACAGTGTGGATGTGTGTATATGCACGTGTGTATTGGTTGTATTTGTGTCTCATGGGTAGGGCTGAAGCTATCTGGCAACTGAGCTCATTCTGACTCCAATGATCATTCTGGCACGTCTCCTTAGAGCAGACTCACATGTCACAACCACACATCTCACCAAAGGACTGAGAAAAGGGTGCATGTATGTCTGTGTGTGTGTGTGTGTGAGACAGTAATACAGCCCTGTCCATCGGTGTCACTCCTCATCCTTGTCATCTCTGACGACAGTGACATCACCAGTCCTGTCACCAGAGTTCACCATCACTCCCCCAGCAGACACTGGCCCTCCTCCTCCCCTCCTCTCTCCTCCCAGCTATTCTCCCTGTCCCCTCAGTCTCTGGCCATCTGTTTCTTTCTCTCCTAAAGTTTCTTCGTCCGTTTGTCTCATGTTCCCTTAGTCTTACCTCCTGTCATTTAGCCACTCGTTCCCTACATGCGTCAAGCTAAAATCTCTCCATTGGGACATTTTGTCTGACTTGCAAACCATGCGTGTGTTGCAATAGCCACAGTAGGTGGACGACTATTCTTTTCTCATGGTGTTTGTGTGCGCGTGTGCATTTACGGATGACGAGGAGCAGAGCTACTGCAAACTAAACGACAGAGAGACAGAATGAGACCGACCACATACACTACATGTGCTGCTTGATGAACAAAAGACTTACAACTATTATGTAAGTGGAAAGACTGACAGACGAAAGAGGAAAAAAAAAGAGAAAAACTAAAAAATATAGAAACACACATACAAGCATAGAAGGGTAGGACATGGGTCAGGGTAGGGGGGGGGGGGCAGGCCATAAAAAGCCTCTGTATGACTGATATTGAAAAGTAGACAGGCACCTCTTACGTTTATGCGCGCTTGGTACTCGGCACTACCGGCCGAGTTTCGTGCGGCGCACCGATACACTCCTCCGTCGCGGATCTGAGGGCTGCTGATGTTGACGTGGCTCACGGTGCTCCCGTCCGACAGCGTGTACTGGCTGGTTCTGACGCGGGACAGGTCCCGGGCGACGGGCTCGTCGTCGAGGGTCCAGGTGATGGTGGGCGGAGGGGCTCCTTTGGCAGCGCACATCAGGGAAAAGGGTTCACCCGGGACCACCACCTTCTCGCTGAAGGAGGCGACGATGCGGGGTGTGCCATCTGAGAGGGAGTCAAACGGTTAGAGATGGGTCGAGGTGTGAATGTAGAGGCGAATGGTAACTTAAAATCGGCATTTTGGCTGAAACAAACGAATCTAGATTAAATCACAAGACATAGAAGCATATGAACAATTTATTTGCTGTAAAAAATAGTAACACATGTCTGTAACAAGGATGGAGCTGCATGACGTGTAAGATAACCATTCTGTCCCTGGGCCAGAACTACCATGACCAAATGCAGATACATATGGGCACAAATGTGCACATATTCAATGCGTAGAGATAAAAAGATATAGAAATTAAAAATGAATTGGGAATTATTGGAGAAATTACACTACATAAAACATAACAGCAAATTCCATGTTTATTAAATCTGTTACTATGCACTGAACTAAAGGAAGTCTATCATTTCTCCCTTTCTCTCTTATCATCCTTTTGCCAATACTCTCTTGAAAACTGAAATAAACCTCCAGGTAACAGACACACGACTCCATGTACAGTGCGGGGATTACATAAACTGGACCATGCACGACTATTGTTATATATACATTGATGATTTGCATCGACATGGTAATTCCCCGGCCTTTCCTCACCTTCCAGTAGTATGATGGAGAAGTCTTGGGCAGTCTGGCATTTGCGCGTGGCAAAGCACTGGTAAGCTCCTGAGTGTCTCTTTTGTGCAGCGGAGATGAACAACGTCTCATTGTGAGCCCCCTGGATGGAAAAGTGCTGATCGGGCAGCACGGATTCTGTGTTACGGTACCAAGACACCGTAAAGTGCGGGGAACCCTGGACAGCGCAGGACAGGATGACTGTGCTGCTGATCCCCGTCCTGAGGTTCTTGGGAGACAAGGTGACCCGCAGTGGCTCTAAGGACGACCAGGGACAGACAAGAAAGGGCTTTTATAATATGTCAGTCATCCACAAGGCGATATCTTAACAGAAGTAACAGATACAGTTGGTATTACCTGTATTGCTGAACAAGAGATAATTAAATTGAGACAGGCCAGGCGACCCGTATCATATGATGCTGTGATTGTGCCTGTGTTGTCTGTGTCGAGTGTGTGCGCTAAGCGGTGAGGAAAACCCGAGACAGAAAGGGGAGAAAATGTCAGCGAGCAATAAAGCAGTTGGTGTTAAGCGCTTCAGGCTGCTGGATGTGTGTGAGCATGTGTGTCAGGGAGTGACCACACACCCACGTGAGACTGTCCTCATTGGACATATTGTGAGTGTGTGTCTTTGTGTGTGTACGCTTACCACCTTCTAAGCTCTGTCAAAGGGGGTTTGCGGGTTTTGTTGTGATGTGCCCTGCGGCCTGTCTGAGCGTTGTCCACTTCACCCTTTAACCAACCGCGTCCCCTCTCTCCCACCTCCTCCCCCTTTTTTCTCTCTCCTCAAATGAACCATTTTCTCTACTCTGTCATTCACTCGTACACAAAACATCATGAGAATGGCTGTGTCCTTCTCTCCCGCTCTGACATCCTAAAGTAAGGAGACGGACGGGCCTACAAGACCACTGTTCTGCTACGTCGTTGATTAGGAACGAGCCACCCTTGAAGATCAAGCACACACTCCACCCTGACGTGGGTCGGCTGTAATAAGGGGGCGTGTTGGAAGCACGGGGACGGAGCAAAAGAGCTTAAAAGATGTCTTTGTTTCCCCCTGACTTCACGTGCATCTCACTCTTTAACTCATCGTCATTGTAGGAGATGGGATGTTACCCACCTATGACGTTGAGGTGACCCGTCACCTCTTTGGATCCAAAGCTGTTGGTGACCTCGCAGATGTAGTTGCCACTGTCCTCGAGCCTCAAATCTGAAACGGTGAGGCCAGTGATGCGACGCGTCCAGCGGGAGTCTGCGGGCAATGGCCGACCGTCCTTTAGCCACCGGATGGTGGGGTTTGGGTACCCGGAAGCGATGCAGGGCAGCTCCACGCTGTGCCCCACTTGTACCTCTCCGGACTGAAAACTGTCCAGCACTGACGGGGTGGACTCCGTAGGGTCTGGAAGGTGAAGCATGTCGACAGCGATATAGTCATTGACAATAATGAGTAGCCTACTGAGTACTTTACTTTAAAGCGTATTCTAAAGAATACAAAGGAAAAGCTGCTGCGCATGTAGTCATGCTTCCGTCATGCTTCACACTGCTCACCCATAACAGAGAGCCTGGCTCCATTGCTTTGGCGAGTCTCTCCACTGTACTTGTGCTTTGTGATGCAGCGGTAGGTGGACAGAGCATCTTCCTTCTGCACCTCGGAGATATACAGTGCGCCAAAAGAGGTCAGGAAAAAACGGTTACCTGCGGAGCAGAGCCGAGAGGAAACAGGTAGGAGGGGGGAGAGGGGAAATCAGTCAGCATATCAGAGCAAGTAGCAAAGCATAACAAAGCCATATCATTAGCATGTAAAGCCTTGTGAGGGGCTGCGGAAAGACGTCTCCACAGTGTGGCACAGAGAAACCCATTTGTCAATGTGTCATAATGTCAACCATAGAGCTTTGTCCACCTATCTGATCTTCTGTTTAAAAAATAGGGGTGTCAAACTATTTTCTTTCAATGCTATTAAAGTGAGATTATGCAGTTTATGAAAGACAAATTACGTTATTGTGACTCATTGAAAAAAAAAATGCTGAATTCAATACACTAGCTTCTGACCTTATATGACCCGTAGAGTATGTTAGACACCTTGAGATAGATTGGATGTGTAACTGACATGTTGTTAACTTAATCAGTTCACTGATTATTGATCTAATACACGTGTGTGACAGTTGCACTCTGTTATAACAGGTCACAGACAAATATTTGAGTGGTTTGATGAGAAAACAAGACGTGTTTTCCACAGATAAACCTTAATTCCAATGCGTTGTCCAACCAACATGGATGTAAACTTGCGTACCCCAATTAATATTCAATTCCATGTGCACAATTCAACCCAAATTTTGTTTTGATGCCGCATGTCTTTTCACCATTCTGAACGAACATAGTTATTAGTTGATCCAAAAGATGTACCAAGCAAAGAAAAGCTAATGGCAAATCTCCCCCATTATGACACACTGCATATTTTTAAGCAAAATAAAGAGGTTTAGAATAAACATGTCATCAAAAGGCCCAACCACAGCACTTAGGTGAACACACGGGAGCTGTAAACACACGTCCTCTCCATCGAGCGACACATACACAATAGAGAACGACCAATGAGGGCAGAGAGAAAGAGAATAGACAGGAGTGTTATTGTAGGTGTAAATAATTGATGTGTCTCCGTGTGTTATGGTAACAGCAGATTAGTGTCATTTTCATTTCACTTCAGTGACTGCTTTGTCTGCCTCTGATTTATCTACATGTCAATAGACACGACCTCTGAACACGTGTGTACGCGAGAGGAGGAAGGAGGAGACGAGCAGAGTGTATTTCAGTGTTTGATTCTTTCCGCTTCTCTGACTCTTTTTGTATTCCGTTACCCCAAAGGAGGGTTTTAGGCAGCGTGCACTTCAGAGTTTGTGGAGATTGCAGATTGTTTGGTTATGTGAAATATATTGCAGTGTGTGTGTATGTGTGCGTGTGTGTGTGTGTGTGTGTGAACACTGGCTGCATGTACATGGTGTTTCACTGTATCGTTTCAATGTTGACAAGAGAGGGCTTGAGTAAAACATTGTACTATTGAATAGTTGAATACTGGAAATGTGTAAAGCGTACCCAAACACACAACACAAGCATAGCTCAAAACAATATGTCAGGAGAAAGTTTTTACTCAAATGCAATGGTTTTTTTTTCAATAAAGGTAGTGATGTAGTCCGTTGATTTTCCCAGTTCTCATTCATGTTTTAATTCAATTACCAATTTGTATCTTGTCTGATTTGAGCACAACCGGGCCATGTGTGTGCGTGTGTGTGTGTGTGTGTGTGTGTGTGTGTGTGTGTGTGTCCTGCAATAAGCAATAACAATTGATGCATTTTATAGCACCACCAATGTTAAAGAGATTTATTAAAAGAGAGACAACTTGCCTGGCTTCCTGCCACACACCAAAACACACTTGCTCCATCACTCCAACAATCCAACAACACTTGAAGAAGACTGAAGGCTTTACTTTTGTGTCAAAGCTGCCAAGTTTTGACCGTCTAAAAAGAGAAATTGCATTTGCACTCCCTTTAAGAAAAAGGATTTGTTGTCTCAATTGCCATCGATTAATCTGTTAATCTGTTTATGTTTTTTGATAAATCAATTATAAGTGGCAGATTGTGAAAGATATAATACGAATTTATATTTATATATATAAATTCAGAAAACTGAAAAAAAAACAAACTTGAATTGAGTGTTATCTTGAGTTTTCGACTGATATGTCTGGAGCAATGAATCAATAATCAAATCATTGAATTGACTAATCATTTTAGTGCTGCTGACCAGCTTTTAGATCTTTATAGTCCCCAACTTTTAACATCAGATCTGTTACAATATAGAATAAGTTTACTCAGAAGCACACAGAGCGCTTGTGACTGTCGGCCTGTGCATCACGTATGCTGTATGCGGAGGTTCACTCTCACATGTTTTCATGCGAGTCAGACTGTTGTGCTGAGTGCTAAGCGACGTAAGCTGTAATTTCCAAGCCTCCCCTTTTGTTCAAACCTGGGTATTAAGCCTTACAGGATAATATGCACTTGGCGAGTAGGACCCTGCATAACACGCTGCTACGACCTGTCACAACATGCCTGCAGAGAGGAAGACAGACCAGAAGGGGGTGGAGAGGGGAGAGACCTGGGGTTAGAGAAAGACATTTAGAGATGGTTAAGAATTGAGAGATCGGAGAGTGCGGCGAGCGACATTAAGCCTGTCAATGTTGGGGAAATCTATTTTACAACTCTTTCCTATGTGTTACTTCCTTTTATGCTTTCTGCATAATACGTTCATTGTGCGGGTGCGAGTGCTTCCTCCCCGCCACACAATGAATCAACACCGCTTCAATCCACACCATCCATTGATATCATTTGCTGTAATAAAACACTAACAAAAAATCTGAAAATGAAAAAAACAAACACATGCTGGATAATGTCTGGCTGAGTAGCCTTGAAATTACCTTGAAAATAACAATATATAGGTGTCTATAGCAACGGCATGTAGTGACAAAGAGTGACATCCCAGCACAAGCAGTCGGTTCAAATGGCCAAACGATGACAATTATCAAGGATGTTTATCCCTCTTTTTACTGCTGATCTCTCTGCCTTACAGCTAGTTTCTAGTCACTGCCCTCCCTGCCGTATTTGGAGATGTGACACACCTAAAACAGCAGAGAAGGTGCAGGCAGCGATGGAGGGAGGTAGAAGAGGAGGGGAAGGGGCTGACCCGACAGGGAAGAGGACGGCAGATGGAGATTGATGGAGGGAGAGATGGGGAGATAAAGAGAAACATGCCGTCGGGAATGACAGAGGAGGGAGGGGGGGAGGGGGGGGGTGGAAAGGATGAGCGGCCTGCGGGGCTGAGAGCCACACATGGGTAAAAACAATTCCTCCACGTCTTTATCCATCTCTCTTCATCTCCCTCTCTCTTCCTCCTCTTGCAAGCCTCTCCTTGTAGGAGAGGAGATCAATTCTCGTCTAGTCTGCCGACGCCTCCAGGAGTTTGTTGTTTTAGAGATTGTGTGTATGTATGCACTTCTGTGTCTGCTTTTTACGTGTGGGACGCAGAATGCGATTCCCGGTAAGGCGAAAAAGCACTGATTTCATCCTTCACTCCTTGATACAGAATCTGTTCACCATCCATAGTCTCTCCGCTCGCTACCCTTTTCCCCTTTTCGCCTCTGCTCCTCTTCCTCGACTATTAGGGGAGTCTTTAAGCATTGGAATCATTTCAGCTAATCAGCCTTAGGCAGAAAGTCAAGCTCTTACTGTATCTCTCTGTGTGCGCAGGAGTGTGTTTGGCTGTGTGTGTGTGTGTCCGTTTATGTGTGTGAGTGAGTGAGTGTACCTTCGCCAGAAATTCCACAGACACATGCAAATAATGAGACAGAGAGACGGTAAGGGGAAGAGAGGGAAAGACGGACACAATGAAAAAAGGATCAGGGAGCCCTTGAGCATCACTTGTCTTCCTGAAAGTTCCCCATGAGAGAGGACACCCCTCTCCTTTGAGATGGAGTCAGAGGAGGGGGAGGCAGGTGGGACGGAGGTTTTGGTGAAAAGATGGAGGCTCAGTATGATGGAAGCTGGAAAGTCACAGCTGTATTCATCCCATTATAGCACATGGCTGCTGTCCTTAACAAATGATCATCAAACAGGGGAGGGAGGTAGGGGGGTAGAAAGAGAAAAACATAAAGACCAAATTAATGTTAACGAGGCAGGTTGGTGTAAAGAATCAGACAGAGGAGATGGTTTAAAAAACAACAACTAAACAAATAAAACTAATACAGTAATAAAAGAAGAAGATATTTTGAGATGCTGGATAGACCACAGAAAAAAGGATGGAACGCGAGAAGGAGCGCGACAATGGAGAGAAACGGAGAGGAAATGGCGTAAGTAAGAGGGTTTGTTCGTGGTGCTGCCATGCAAATGAAGGCAGTGCTGCAGCAATGCTAACTAACAGCAATTTACACTGTTGGACTTATCACTTATTAATGCTCTATGGCTCCCCCCCCCCTCCCCTCCCCTCCCATCTCTTTCCCTCTCCCTCTTTAACCGTACCTCTCTGCCCTACTCTAGCTAGGATCTCTCGTTTTTTTGTTCGCTTGCTCGCTGTTGCTAGGGCCTGTGCACTCACGTGACAACAGCTGGGTAGGGGGCGCTGCCGCGGCACACAGCGACGTGCAAGTGTGCGTTTCGTGAGTGCTTTGCATGTGTGTGCGTGCATGCTTTGTATGTGCGACAGAGTGCCCTTCATTAGAGGTAAAAATGGAATCAGCCATTTAAATGATGGCGATGGAAATCAGAGGAGAGAGAAACTGCTGAATGGATCTGTAATTGGTTGCTGGCTTGGGCTGTAGGCCAGGAACAACACGTCTCCCCGTGCATCATGTCACTTTATTATTCACTCAGCAGCTTATTTATTTTTTTAAAAACACATGCTCAAGACGACTGTTGTTGTAGAGGTTGGCCTTTCAGGTATTCAGGCTAAAAGGACCGCAGGCTTACAATAATCAGTAGTTCTCCAAACGGACTTATGCCAAATGGCCGCACACATGTAATTTCACTTACAATCTGTTTTCCGATCTACACATTTCTTACTCCCACTGTCTCACAAGCCACGTTTGCAGGGAGCATCCTCACTACAGGATGCCACAGCGATAACTCATCTGTTATTCTCCACCTCTTCTTGATTCA